AAACTGCTTTGGAAAACAAACTACTCACCATTGCTCCATGTTTCTCATAGTGCCAGTCTTTTTCACTGTCTTTTCTTCTTTTACTAAATTTTTTGTGGAGTGTGGGATGGGGAATTCAGTGCAGCTGTGACTATGACTTCATCTGGGCTACCATGAAAGCATATCACATCTCACAAGAAAATAATGTATTTGCATGCATGTACTTTAATATCCAGAGGCTTTTAACAAACTCTGCAAACAGTTATACTTTGTCATGAACAGCCTTACAAACATACAAGCATTTTACTTGCCTCACATTGTAAAGAGATTATTTTTCACACAATCGAAAAACATTGGTTAGTGTTTGAGTTGACTCACAAGATTCTTGTCATTTAAATGACAGTGATGTCAGTATCTCCATACTCCAGTAAAACTGACCTCTGTGTTATAACCATTCAGTGATGTAAAGTTCACTCAACATCATTTATCTTACACAAATATCGACACAAATATATACAGAAATATATATTTCTGTCAATATGAATGGATGGCACAAAGGATTGCACTTGCATCATGCTACAACTCCAAAACTTTTTGTGCTCTATAAAAAAGAACAAAGATGATCTCCAACTTCCACAGAATAAACATGCGTTTGTTGCTTTCAGTACACTGTCCTCACTACAGCAGAGAAAGAAACAAACTACTTCTTATACATGCTACTGAAACCAAAACTATGTAACACGTTATTTGCAAAATGTTATTTATCTAATAAGCTTTAGCAAGCAGGGCCATTAGTTTCTATGCTCTACAGCACCGTGAACGCAGTGGGATTAGCTCATGTCTTAAACACAGCAATCTGGCACATGCAGCAAGCTAAAGACTACGCGGGGGGTTGCTACCAGCAGGACATTGTTGGCCAACAACAACGCACTGCCCAACGCACAGCGCAGAGGAGAAACGAGACAACCCCAGACTGTGAGCCCTTCCCAACAAGGGGTCGTGGATGCTACACTGCAGCTTTTGGCATAACGGGAGGAGGTGAGGCCTGCAGCTCCTATCGAGGAGTACATTGCTGCAAATCAACAATGATGCTGCTTGGGTTGATCCTGCTGATTTCCAGGAAAATGTACCTGTGTTACAGTGAACATGGGCTGTAGGAGCGACTGGGCTAACTGGGAATGGAAGGAACACTGACTCTGTAGAACCTGGTAAAAATATTACATATTGAGCAGAGTACACGTTACACAGGACTCCCTACCAATATGAAATGTTTTATAGTTAGCAGATTCCAATATATTTTTGGAGAATATTCAACCTAAAATGTCTGTGTATTACTTGCATTGCTGAGCATAATATCAAAACTGGAAGAAATCAAACATATTGCTTAGGATGTTGGGTCAGAACGTGGACCAATTACTTTCTCTTTAACTGGTTCTGCACCAAATGTTCTGCACCAAAAAAGTTATTCCTGATCTACATTGGTATAACTAAGAGAACCTGATATCCTAGATTTAAGTTGGTCTCTGTGACTGCAAGAAATAAATTGTCAATTCCTCTGAGTAGCTTTGCAAATTCCTCTAAGTTTGGATGGAACCTGCTGGGCTTGCACTAAGGACATTATCTTTAAATACCATTTCAAATTGAAAACAAAAATCACAATGTTTTCTAATGATAAAGTGCTTCAAAAGAAAACAACAAGCAGATAGCCTTTCTCATAAAATGTCTCATGCACTTAAGACTGACTCATCTGCCCTCATGGCAGATTGAGCAGGGTGGCTCCTGGGAGTGTGCTGTTGCCTATAAACAGGTGTGAAATCAGCTACATGTCTCTACTTGCACATGTCAAACTTGGAATTCATTGGACTTACATTTATTTTGTGATGCATGCCCCACATAAGCATCACTGCTTTGCCTATATTCCTTAAGGGTGTGGTTTTGAGATTTCTCTAAGTGCAAGAGCAAGATCTTCTACCTTGATGAAAAGGAGCTTTAATTTTAATAGAGAAGCTGGATTTTAATGGCCTCAACGGTCTGTTTAGAGAGTAGATTATGTGGCTGCTAAGGGTAATTTAAGGGTAATGTCAAATATGGATTATGAAAATCTCAAAGACTAACAAGAATCTACAGAGCATGGGCTACAGAACTGGGAACAAGTGTTTGAAAACCAAGTCTATGGAAGTAAAACAGAAACACTACCACTCTCCTACAAGATCAGAATTAGGGAAAAAGCAGGCTAATCATATGGCATTATGTGCCATAAGTGTGGCACATAATGAATAAAACAAAAAGGTACTTCCCAGGTGTTAACATACCTCAGTGCAGGACCACTGCATATGGTGCCTTAACAAGCAGCCTCAGAAACTCACCCAGACTCTCAATTGCCATCCTGCACCCAATATCTTTAGCTCTGAAATTGCTGTTCCACCTGCTTATGCAGATCATGTAAGCTATCTGTACTCTTTTTAGGATACTATGATACTGTCTTTTCAATTGCACATAACATTGCCAACTATAGGTATAGTTGAACTTAAATTCTTCAGGTTAGATGTTGCCTCAAGCTAAGCTCTTCATCAAATCAGACAAAATGCTTTCAGCTATGTACCAGGTTGTTAAGAAACTGGTGTGATAACCTAGCTAAAAATGTGGCAAAAGAAATATAAGCAGCATAATTAACACTGTGAAAAAAAAGTTAATTAATATTTGAGCTAAAAAGGAATTGTCAGTTTTCTTGGAGGATTAATGTAGAATTAATTTAGAATGAAATGTTAATTTTAGCCCCCTTGTTTCCAGCATACATTGGGACAATTTTAAAGGATGCATAGTCAAATAGTAATCCCAACAGAATTTAACAGAGCCACAATTGGTTCAGTGTAATAAATCCTTCAGTGTTGAACCACTTTTTTCTAGTTTAACTCCACCAGCTTCACATGGCTGCTGTTCACTTGAATAACACTGGAAAAAGCACATCCTTTGATATTTTAAAGCAAGATTAGAATAAAGCTTTCATGGAAGAAAGAATCAATCTTATTTCTAATATAACAACAGATTAAAAGGACATCTCTCAAGTCACAAAGTTTCATTAATTACTTACATGTTTTACAGCACCCTTCTAGAAATGGTACAACATAGCCTCCAACCTGGCCAAGAGGAAAAAAAAAAAAAAAAGAGGAAAAAGCATGAATTCCCATATATCTGCACTGTTAGAAATATCTACCAGATAAAGCTCTGCACTTTCCCTTGACATTTCTGAAAGTTTATTCAGGCAAAGAGAGCACTCTAATGTATGGATCAGTGTCTGGCTAAAAATGAGGTAATTTCACTGTTTTAGCACAAGTGAGTACTAAGTGGTTGTCCCTGAATGCCACTAAACATCACTAGCTGTGTGACTGGGGTTCTCTCTGAGGGACCAATCTGTTGTTATCTGCGGGGAAAATTACAGCCACCTACTTCCTCCAGGACTGTTCCCTGCTTAGTTACCGCTATTCATTGAAGAAAATGTCCCACCACCCACACCTAAGCGTAGAGTTAGAGCGTAGAGTTAGAAAGGATAGAGTTAGAAAGGAAAGAGTTAGAAATGATATTGCTCCCTCCATACATTTACTAAGGATTATATGATATTGCTCCCTCCATACATTTACTGACACCTACTCTAGCTTAGCTTTACACATTGAAACCAGTGGGGGCATCACTTTTCCTGTAAAACTAGTCCACAGCATTATGGCTTGCTGTAGGATCTTCCTGATGCTCAATCTTTTTTCTCTCTTTAGTCTTTTTTGACCATCATGATTAACTGAATTGCTATACACAGAAAGTCATATAGAAAGGAGAAGTCCAACCCAGAAAAGCATGCAAGTTTGGATAGCTGCATGAGGACAAATTTGACACTAGAAGCCTCCATGAAAGAGAAAGTATGTTCTGAGAGTACGAAGTGGCCTCTCCAGCTGTGTAACTGGGGAGTGCTGTTGCACACTACACATATATACACATAGCTTTTCTCTTTCAAAGTTCAGGACAAAAATGCAGGCACAGTAGCAATTCATAATTTCTATCTTCCTGAGATAACAAAATCTTCTGTTAATGTTAAGCTTTTCACACAAACATAAATCCTGGCTGCAGTATAAACAGCAGCAACCACATATAATGGTAACCACAATACAACCAGCACTGACCTTCACACATTCAGTTTCATTAAAGGGTGGGCAGCCGACTGGAGATGCAACTAAAACTGGTCCTACTGCTGTGTTAGTGCATTCATATCTGATGCAGTTTGAAATCCAAATACTACCAGGCTGTTTAAAAATTGTAAAACAAAATCATTACTAACAGCTTAGCAAAATCAATATTACAAATATTCATTACACAATTCTGATTAACACAATCTCATCTCCATCAGTGGTAGTGTTAATAACAGAATATGCACCTAGATGCAGTTTTTTAAGAACAGCTCAACAAACAGAAACGTAAGGAAGTTCTAAAATAGCCAGCTTGACTACAATTCTTGGATATATCAACTAATTCAAGCTTTGTGGACATTGATGTGATCAATTCTCTGATAAATTAACGTGTAAATGCAGAACTGCTCTTAGTATTTGGCCAAACAAAGCAGTTCTCACTTCTTCTATGTCAGTGTGTGCAGACCATTTAACTAAGGTTTGGTTTGCTTCTGGATATTTTTGAAGGAACAAAAGATTCATAAGCTTACCTTAAAATTGGAAACTGTGCCATTGCTGAAAGTGTGGAGGCAAGACAAATTCTTACAGCTACCACAACAAGTTGTTAAATCTTTTGGAGGCTCATAGACTTGGTTCTGCCAAAATCAAATAGGTTAGTACCTTGTATGATACCATTTACACCTTCACACTTAGCTACTGTAATGGGCTGTTTCTTTCAGGTATAATTTTTAGGGATAATTTTCAAATAACTATTAAAGCTGCAGAGATTACATTTTCATGTGCTGTATATTCATGAAGATTTACACAATACATTCAACTTTAATTGCAGTAAATGAGAAGAAGTTCCAGCTCAGAGAAAGTGAATTGGTCTTTTTGCCATTTTCAGAATGTACATTTGTCAGCTTACTCAACACTCACTGAAATGTTGGCTTTTCACACATTAGACACTGAATAAATACATAATTAGAAAAAATAATCCATAACTAATCCAGCAGGAACTTTTTCCCTAGTAATATATCACACTTTGTAAATTACAAAGACAAGATTTCATCTGTTGATTTAATAGTCATTTGCATATTTATAAATATCTTTCTTTTCCTCATTTCTCTGGCATAATGTCTGCTAGGAATTTGTACCAATTTGCCCATACTGCAAATAAAGCTATAGAGGGATGGGAAGTGGCAGCATGCTGCTTGTTCTTTAGGGATCAGCACTGGACTCTGTATGGAAGCCTGCTGAGCACTGGACCCCAGCACTAGCTGCCTTAAAAACCACAGCTGTATCTTCTCTTTCTACTCTTGCATCCTTCTTTGCTCTCAGTGAGTAAGAATCTGCCCAGACCCTCGACCTATCTCTGTGTCAGCTTAATGCAAAAATCCTCCCTGCTTTCAACTGTGAGAAACTGAGATCAGCCAGGTCTACTTCTCTTTCAGAGGGGGAATAGGTAATTTATGTGGAGAGTACATCACTCAATGAAACACCCACTCAGTCTAGGACAGTTGTTATACAGGAGCAAAAATTCTATAGAATAAATAGACTGCTTATGTTTGGGAAAAAGCACTAAAAGGAAAGAGATTTTTATAAGCTTTAATTAGAAGCACTGTGAGACCTATGTAATTCCCTTAAGGGTACTCTCCTCTGTTTCCACAACTGTAATCTACTCCCTAAACACAGAAAAGATAAGTAAAAATGTTACTGAGACCATCAGACTAAAATTCTGAATTTCTTACTGCTTTGCACTTGACAGCACAGTCTATTGAGGAGGTATTTATCTGGTAGTACTTAGTGGAGGCATCAATCACATTTGTACAGTAAGAAACATGGCAAATGCCATCAGGAGCATGTTCCACAATTTTCTGTCCAGGAAGCAGCACACCTCTCTCATTACTCAGGCAAACTTTGTCTCTCACTACAAGAAAACACAAAAGCAGCAAGTTCAGGAAAATCTGCTTAATTTCTGAATAACTGAATTAAAAAAAAAGTTTCAAATTGTTAAATGGGAGTGGAAAAGGCTACTGTACCTCTCCAAGAATTCTACGTCAGATTTTCAAACATAAACTGTTACTAAAAATAGTTCTAAAGATCACAACAAACCCAAAGTTAGAGCAAACAGTTACACATGAAATCTTAATAAGTAAATCATAATGTTCTATTAGCAGAACCACGGAAACGACAATGCAGACTGTCATTGTAAAGGGTTAGTGCAACTAATTTTGATCTGAACGTGGAGTGTTTTAGTTTCTTGTTGGAGTCCACACTCCAGCTCGGCAATGTGCAGGCTGCTCTGTTAACACCTTCCAACTTTATTCAAATTCTGCCACTGTTTGCCTGCCCAGACCACGTGCTGCAGCAATAAACAGCATACAAGGATGGTTTATAATCAATCAAATATTTAGTGAGGGATCCTATTTTTATTGCTTTTCCTTATACTATTCGTGAATTATGTTAGTCAATTTTTTCCTTCTCAGTTGCACGTTTGAAGCACAAGCATCTGATTTATACTTTCTATTCTACCTCAGCACTTGAAAGGACATTTCTTTGAATTATTTTCCTACTTACCACATTTGTATTTAACACAGTTACAGATATTTTCTGTACTGTTCTGAAACTGTTCATCTATCTGAAGTTTCTGCCCCTAAGTGTATAAAAGCAGAAAAAAAAGAGAAGTGAAATTACAGTGTTTGGTAAGCTGCATTTTTTTTTTTAACAATTTCTCTTTAGGCCTGGAGTAGCTGCATCTGTTGCCATTACAAGCCTATTTTAGAATTCATTTTGATAACTCACAGTGATATACAATTTAGCAGTGCTGACCAGACAGGAGTTTGTTTACACCACAGAAATGGAATATTGGTGTCAGTCCACGAGCTATTTAGGACTGAAAAGCCTATGGCTGGTCAATAGTGAAATGCCATGGCTTGCCTGTGCAAAGAATTCTCCAAACAGATTGGAGCATATTCGTTATTCTGTTTACTTGATGTAAACAGTATCACAGTAGCACAGAAAAGATGCAAATTTTAAATTTTGCTTTTTAATTGGTTTTATATGTATGCACACCCTATTCTTTGTTTCCCATTTTTTCATGTATGAGATACTTACTTTGCTTGCAAAGCATTTTCAACTGTACTGATTAAAAATCCTTTAAGCAAACTGAGTGCTGTTATTATTTCCTATTCCTTCCTCTTGTTCCAATTTTGATTTTTTGATTATTCCCATTGCAAGATATTTTCAGGATACAATAACCAAAAATAAACTCACAGCATACACAGTACTTATTGAGAGCTGAACCAAACAAAACTAATAAGCGTTTTCCAAATGTTAAACAAGTCATAGTGAAATAAAAAATTTAAGCTGCCTAGTTTATGGTATAAGTGCATAATATAGGTTAACATATTCACTATAGCAAATAGCATTAACAAAATGCAGATACTTTAAGCATTTAGTTCTGACATTTTAAGAACAAAATTCTATCCACAGTTGTGTGAAAGAAATTCCACTCCATATATACTGCAGAACAGTACTTGGTCCTAAAAAATAAATGAAATGTTAATATTTTGCAGTCCTTCTATTCTGCAAGAAATTTAAACATTATTAAAGCTGATATTACTTATTCTAAGTATTTTAAAAATAAAGAGCATCACATTACATTTTGTTTTTCACTGCAAAACTATTAGTTTATCACACTGATAAATAGTATTATTAATAAATTAATAAAAGAATACTGACAAATAAGATGAGTTCCATACCAGTTTGCACTGAGGCTTGGGGATGGTTTCACATGCACATTCTAAAACAAAACACAGTAACAGAAATAATAGTTTAGGAAGTCATTCTGCCAGCTGCTTAAAACAGAGCATGAGAGAAATCAGAAACTCCACAGTTACGACTCATCACTGAAGAAGCCCTACTGGCTTTTGGAATACTCCCATCTGGGGGGTCCAGAATTATGTTTAGCTTCTACTTCACCCTGACTCTTAATATCAGCTTCCATGACCACCCTTGCCTTTACCTATTCAAACAATTTACAGCATTTAATCACCTGGACTCTACCTGAAGATGTAGAAAAAATGCGAACATTGTAGCCCTTAGTCCCTTTGTGGTGATGACAATCTTTATAATCAATAGAAAGCAATGGAGAATTGTGGTTAAGGCACCACAGAGAGCTGTGTGATATGCTACCGTCTTAGTTCACAGATTCCTGACCTGTGAACCTCTGGTTGTTTTGTTTTGTTTAAAGTCATGAATAGTTTACTAATCCTTAATTTTTAATTATGAGAGGACTGCCGCAGGCTAATTCTGCAGCATATCACCCTTGGGAAGGAAGAAAAACAAAAGAGGTAGATTAAGACCATGAGTATCACGAGATCACTTCTTATTCCATCATCTATTCATGAGCAGGTCATTATGGTAGAGAAGCCCAACCTTGTCTCATACATGCAGCAAAATCACCATTTGCACAGCTTAGGGTCCGTGCCTTTAGTAATTTTTCTGACCTAAAACCAAAGGGTCAAAGTTATTGGCAGTGTTTTATTGTCTAAAGCAACTAAAATGAAAATCTGTCATTTTACCACACGTCCGAAATGGGCAGCACTTCTCTGGGCTCCATACCTCCACCAACGACATGCCCAACATGCACTTGAATTCAGGACAACGATGTATTTCACAAACTAAAATTAAGGAAACGAAGCTTCAGTCAGCACAATTTTTAAATTATTCTGAGGCACAGAAACACAAATCCAGACTGAATAACTGACTTGTTCATAAAAAATGCCTTTACAGGGCATCTTACTTGAAACTGATCAAAATTTAACTATTAGCCAGTAGATAACAGACATGTGCAGTACAGTACAGTACACTCTAGGCAACAATTTCCAGAACTTGGGGCCTGAAATTATTCATTTGTATCTATGATGCAGATATTCACATGATGTTTCAGGCACATGAAGTTTTAAAATGAAAGAGCACATGTTTTGTACTGCAGATGAGAACTTGCTTATATGCATAACTATAACTTTGTCCCTAATCCACTGTTTCTCACACTGAACATCTACGCTACAAAGTTTTACGCATTCTCTGTTACTTAAAATACCAAGATCAAGTGAAACTTACTACACTGGTATGTAGGGCAACATCTCTCTGTAGTGTTGCCATCCACCATAAGCACTTCTCCTTCTTCACACTTGGGAATTTGATCAGAGCAAGCCCCACATGCTGAAGAAAACAATTATTTCAATCTAAAACACAGGAAGAGGTTTTACCGCTGCATAGGAAACACATGCCCAAAGGATTCCCACAGGCACATGAAAGACAGCAGAAGTATTCTGCAGAGCTGACAGAAACGTTAATTTTCAGTGCAACTTGCCTTTTCTTTGTCCCCTACCCTGCTATAAAGAATGAAGATATTAACTGTGAGTCAGAACAGGAACAAACATTCTCCATTTCTTTTGTTATGACACATTTTGCATTTTTTCTCTCCCGTTGAATCATTCTGGTTTTTTTCATGCATGCTCCTTTGGACTGGACTTGAGCATCTTGGATGCCCAGTAAAGGGCATTTCCTTTGATTCCAGTGCTATCCTCTCACTTGAACACATAACAAAAGAACAAGAAGGACATGCTAGTATTGTCAGTCAAAAGACTTCTGATGCCTAAAAAGAGACAGAAGAATACCGTGCTGATAAAGCGAAGAGCCAAATGCAGCACATGGCATTCATCTTCCAGACTGACTCCCAGAACACTGTTAAGAACAGCAGCGTATTTCAAGTTTTAATTTAAGGTATGAATATTTTGCACATGAAAGAGCAAATCAAGAAGATTGCGATTCACTGATATCATTGTGCAAAAATAGAGTCCATTTCAGGGACATATATAGGGCATAATATTATAAATTAATTAGTGTGCAGAAAATAACCATGTGGTAACAAAAGGAACTCCTACGTTAATGTCAAGAGCAGAATTTTATTACTGAATTAACTCATTAAGGGCCAAAGCTCAAGAAAACTGAACAAAATTGCATAACACTCTCATTTATGACGTACTATAAGAAAGATGGGCCATGGCTAATACCACAGAATATGGGAGCAAGAGCATATATAACCTTATTCATGCAGCCAACCCCACACTGTACATGAACACCCTCTCAACAGCCCTCAACTCTCTCATCCAAGGTCTCCACCAGCGGTTGATTACATGACCCAAGAGTATAGTTCATTCACTCAAAGTCATTGTGTGACTCTTGACGGTTGCTGCCACTTTCGGTGCTTTGGGAACTTCATGCCAATTTTACTACTGCTTCTGAGCCTTATTAAGTTGGGAGAGCTGGACACAAGAAGCCTTAAATGGTAAGCTACTAGTGCACACCTTATTATGTGAAAACACTAATAGTCTCAACTAGTCAGGGCACCATACCACAAATATAGGATATACAGCAGGTACTCTCCACCCGTGCAGCAATTAGTGTTTGATCCTCTTGACAGGTTGGAATCTGCTCCATTGGTTCACATTTTGCTGGATCACATTCTGAAATAAGCACAAGACATTTATTTCTTACATCACTCTTTAGACAAAGTATAACATTGCTCCTTCCTTATGCTAAATCCCTAAGTAATGGCTGTGCAAAGTAGAGAAATACTACAAGGCATCTCATAAAAGCTTTTCCTCCGTATCACAAGAGAGCAAAGATACATTCTTGCCTGATCTCGGAGCACAAGGCTCCTTTACTACTGTATCTGCACAAAATGAGGTGCAATCCAACCCTGAGTTTTCAGATGAAAGAAAATTTTGTAAATGGTCATATTAACATTGATGTTTACCCTGCTATCTTTCTGCTCTAAAGTTGAGCCATTTAGTTTCCCTGAACATCTTTTACACAGTGAATCCTTTTACCTTTTTATGAAACGTACCACAAGTGTAGTTGGGACAACAGGAATCTTCACTGTAGTAGGCGACCAGCTTTTCCAAGCCCTCACACTCAGGGATTAGGGGTTCACAAAGGCTGCGATTGCAAACTATTACAAAAAGGGAAAGGAAAAAAAAAGGAGAGAGATATAAAGAATTTCTAAACTATTTCAGGCATTTCCAAGTCAAGGAGAAAAGTGTCAAGTAGTATTTGTAGTTTAATATCCCAAATCTCCAAACAACAATATGTATACAAAAAAACACAACAAATTGTCAAAAACCCCTGAGACTATGTAGTGTCCAGAAGTGTCCAGAACTCACCAGGATCTTCACAGATTTTATCAAAAGATAATCTAGAGTCCTGGTGAAAATTCTCCTTAAAAAGTATATTTCCTGTGGAAAGTTCACTGCAATAATGCGGTTCCAAGTGCTCAAAACATGACTACTGCTTGCAACCTTCTTTTTTGAATATAGAATTTTGAATATAGAGCTTTTTTTTCTTAATCTAAGTAAGGATATAGAAAGCTTTTTTGTGCTTTCTGCACAATCTATATATTCAAAACAAGATCACTTCCATTTACTCTAAAAATAGAATGTGTAAATGCATAGCAGGAAAGCAAACAACAGGGAAAGGATATCTGCACAGTCCCGTGGGCGCAGTTCGTATTTATGGAAGGATGCTCACCGCAGATCTTCTGAGGACAGCACGTCTCATCACCAGGAACAGGCACGGCCACTTCTGCAAATCGCTGACAGCCCAAATAGGGGCTATCTGAGCAGTTGTACTCCACTGGAATAATGGTCTCACTGGCAGCACATTTTTGCATGCAGCATCCACTCAAAGAAGTTTTCCAGATCTCACCCACTGCGTGAGGTGCTCCTGAGCTGTCTGTACAAGCTAGATTAGGGCAACAGAAGACGGAAATAAAACAAATTTTCACCATCTTTTTCTCCCATACCACATGGGGAATTACAAATGATAAAGTCTCAGTTTTTAAAATCATTGCCTACTCCTAAAAATCAGCCTCAGACAACCCATACCCTCCTTGGGATCATGATCCTCCTTTTCATTTCATGCCCCCACTGCAAGACCAATAACTTAAAATCTCAATCCAATCTTTTGTTTTTGAAACAATGCTTGTGAAAGAAGTTGCCTTCTCACTTCACACATGGCAAAACCATTATTAATTTATGGTGATTTATGTGATCTGATTTATAATAAATGCATCTTTTGTGTTATTATTGTTCAGTACTGGTACACAATTGGGTGTGAATAGGAAAAACTGTAATGCCAACAGCAAGAATGGAGGAAATTCAAACATAATTGTTCAGAATGTGTAATTGTTACCAAAACACTTTCAAATTCATCTTCCAGCTGACAAAAGTTAGCAAAACAGTATGTCACAAAGACATTCCTTCTTGCTCACTTGTACTGTTAATGTGTACTGGGCCTGCAGAGTCTTTAGTTGAATGACAGATGCAGAACCCACACAGCACTAACCCAGAAGTGGACTTAACAGTAATTAAGAAACTGACCATCCACATGAAGAGAGTAAAGAAGAACATATCAAAGCATACCACATTTTTCTTCAGGAATACATAGAGCCGTGTGAGCTCGGTGAAGGATGGTGCTCCCAGCACACACACAACCTTCTGTCAACACTGAGCAAGAGTCGGAGTCCAGGGAAGCCACCTCGCTGTCCTGACAACTCTTTGGAACCGCACAGGCAGCTATGCAGGCTTGATAGGAGAAGTTTTCTGAACAGAGAAAGGCTGGGAAACAAACAAACACATCAATCATTCTGAAGTTGCAATCAGATGAAGATGCACCACCCAAACAAAGGCATAAACCTTTTTGTGCTTGCCAACTTAATGATCTACAAACTTAAAACACACACACAGACTGATTACTTTCTACATGAAAAATTCACAAAGAATTGCACAGAGGAAATTTCATAAACATTTCCTCTTCTCTTCCTCCCATAGCAACATTCTCACCAGGCTTCAGTTTGCTTTTTGGCAGGAGAGAAATCAAACTATGCAACGGGATTCACAAGTTAATTCAACTTTGAGAAACATCTACAAATACTATACTGATTAACAATACAGTGTTTTGAAACATTTGGAATATTTTGCTGTGGATAAAGAAAATACATTAATTACAGAAGAGTACTGTCAAATACTAAATGATCTATATATAGGCTAAATCAGTATTGTTTTACCTAGAATAATTAAAAACGGGATGAATGAGAAAATTCACGTTTAGATTTTAAAGATCAATTGGGAGAGGAAGCTGACGTTATTCAGTTCCTTGCTTCTAAGAACAACATACTGACCCATAGAAACAGCTATTATAATCCTATAATCAAAGGAGTTTGCACTTTTAAAGTCACCATTCACAGAATGTCAAGGCTTGGTGACCAGAAGACATAGAAGTGACTTCATGGTTTTTGCTTTTTGGGCATACACCGCCAGAGGTCACTGCAGTATAAAAATAAGAGCACTATGTCCCTTTAGGATGGATTATATATGTAACTGTATTTACAGATATATTTTGTGAACTGTCTTTTTCAACAGTTTTTAGTAAAATACATATAAATAGAAGAAAACAAATATAAAGAGAGCTAACTGGTTTTGAATGTTAAATTCCATGACTGTTGATTTTATTTGGCAGCACAGTAGCACATGCCTGCATGAAGCTTGCACTCTTGTTCTATAACCAAGAAAACACGCTCAACTTCTATGCACAGGGAGTTTTCTTCTTTGGGGGGATCACACTTCATCAATAGGTCATTCACTTCTCAAGCAATGAAACTACAGACTTCTACGTGATCAAATCTAAGGGGATCACTTTTCCAAGGATATCGCTGACAACATGAGGAGATGCAGTGATCTATGTATCTTGTGTTTGCCTTACTGACAACTAGAGGCCCCGTTTGGCCTTACACTTTGGTGTAAGGCAGATGTGTTCAGCCAGAATCCTCCAGCTCTCAGGTTTTACTCCTTACTTTTGTCTAATCTCAAAGGGTCTCATTTCTTAATCCTTCCTCCACATGAAGGCACAGGTTTCTGGAGCACCACTTTGCACATGGGGCCAATCTGAAGTATCACAGAATTTTCCTTCCATGGCTTTCTCCTCCCCACAACCAACTCTGCTGTGCTCTGGCTTTGCCAGGGGACAGTGGCTAAAAGAAATAACCACCATATTGCAATGAGATGATCTGACTTGCGCAATATAGTGCATGACAAGCTAGATGTAGAATACTGAACAAATTACTTTATCTTACCATTTGTGCAATGACTACAGAGAGACTGATTTTTTGCATACGCTTTGAACTGCATGATACAAACTGGTGAGAATTCATTGTCTCAATAATCACTTTCAAGGTATTCAAGGATTTCTTAAGCACTGATATTCTCACCTTAACAGCAAAGAAAACTTTGTCTCCCTGAATGCTAAAGTTACATGTACATGCAGAATACTCACGGCAGTAATCAGAGCTTCTCCATTCTATACAAATATTAAATTTGTTGCACATTGCCACGTAGGCAGCTAGAGCGATGCATGGATTTTGGATGTACTCTGTGTCTTTAACCCATATATCACAGAATAGCTCAGGTGGAACCTAACGAAGTAAAAAAATATATATATTGCATTTTCTTAGAAACCCTGCTACACTGGAAATAAATTAACCTTGGAAATAAATTAACCTTGTCTTATAGTTGTATCGCTAGAAATAAGGAAGCCACAAGTACTTGTTTTTCAGTAAGCAAGAGGTTATCAGCCTTCATTAGTGTATGAAGAGAGTTGATTCTCTACTGGCAATCTATTGCCTCTGGGATGCTGATAACTTACTGAATACTTGTAAATTCAGTATTACTGAATACTTTAAGTCATGTGGGAATCCATCTTCCCATATGAATTAAAATCTAAAATTATACTGTTTTACTTTTTTGACATCATATTGACTCAAATGAATTATCTGGACCTACTTTACAAATTAAACAGTATTGTCAAAGCTAACACAAAGCTACACTACTATTTTTTGAAAGTGTTAGCTGCATATTGCACTGTCATATCAAACTGCTGCACTCTTCAACTATTTTTTAGCCTGAAACTGCAAAAAAAAAAAAAAAAAGTATATGCGTCATTCTTTAGATGTGGTTATACGTAGCTACACGTTAATGCAAGTATCAAATATACAAAATTATATCAAGCTGTATCTCTTCCAAAATACGAGTTTCTAAAATACTTAACATACGTAAGGATGACAGCTGCTGAAGGTCTGGTTCACTACAAGGCTTAAGCACTCTGAGCAGTCCATGACTGAACAATTAGTTTCCTGATGCCTGTCTTCTCCAACATACTTTAATGTATCTGGCACTTGCCAGCTGTCTATAAAAGTTGATGGTGCATTACTTTTGCTTAAAACTGTCCTGTTGGGTAGCATCAGGTCATTTTCCAAACTTCCATCACAAAAACCTAAATAATACCAGAAGGAAAGAAAAAAAAAAGTAAACATTGTGCAATATATTTGTATGTCTGTTAGCAGTATACTCAAACAAGCAAGTCGGTCCAGTACCTGGCAACTTACACAATATGCCAGGATTGCAATCCACAACAAGTGTGGAAAGTTTCTGGTAGGATAAAAATACACAAAATTTACCCACAAGCAAGTAAAGTGAAAGTAAAAATGCAGTGACGAGGCAAAAAAAAGAGCAAGCACGAAGTTTAAAAGGCAGAATTCTGTCTTGTGAACTGCAGAGGGGTGAAAAGAGATTTATATGTCAAAGAGCTGTTCAGGAAAGCCCAAGAGAGCCCATCTATATCACACAAACTTCACTCTTCAGTTTCATAAGCACTGAATAAACATGTATTTTTAAAAAGGTTATGAAGCACCTTCACATATAACAATGAATGAAAATTGTAAAAGTTAGTGGGAAAGGGTACTTGTGCAAAATGCCAAGATACTTATAGGATACTGACTTCTTTTCTGCTTATGCTTCCAGGCTGAGCTGAGCACCTATTGACTTAACAGATACCATTAAAAAGGGCAGCTTTTGGCACTTTCAGGTACATTGATATTACCCGTCCCCCCCACACACACACAGCTTGAAGGAATCAATCTTTTCTGGACTTGTTTCTAAGAAGCCAGCATCAGATTTCCTTTCTGCTTAAAATAAGGTAGCTGGCAATTTTGAAACTCTTTGGAACATCGGAAATACCGTAACACAAGAAGAGCTATTTTAGTCAAGAAAGAAACACTGAGTATTACATCAAACTCCTCTTTTAGGAGCCAGCAGTCTTCTTCAGAGTAAACCACTGACAAAATGATACAGCAGTAAGCATTCAGAAAGTAACACATTTTTTGAAGCTGTAAATATTGACAACAAATGTTTCTCGTTGAAAATTATGAGTCTGTGCAGCCCGAATAGGAACTGGGTGATGGTTCTGCATGGTTCTGCACGTCTTCACTTCAACCAGTGATTTTAAAGAGATGTCCATGATCCCACAGCACTCCCATTCCCACTTTACTTCTTCAGCTGCCATTTGTTTGCCTCCCAGTGTAAAAGACACTGCTCTTTCCGACACAGGTCCCTCCAGACAATACTTGCTGCTACAAAACAGCAGTGGTGTCTTCAGTTCCTCATGCGCATGAAGATAGGAAACCAGGACATATCAATACCACCATATGGCACAAAGTCATCTGAGATAGCTCAAATAACATGTAGACTAACAAAGAAAGTACAGGAGTCCTGAGCTATCTAGAAAACGTAGCTTGCTTAGAGCTGGCTCTAGCAAAACCCACTAGACAGCACCAGGCAGGCAGTTTTTGCAGAGAAGCTCAATCAAGGATGAATGCCAAAAAATACAGTGTATTCTCTGCAGAAGGTGGACCTGGAACATCGACTGCAAAAGATGACACAAATGTGTTGTCAACTTCCTAACTGAACTGGCCATATGAACCAGGAATATAATGTTCCCTATTTTCCCTATCACAGTAATCAGACTAGTAAAGACAGAAGAGATTTTTAGAGTAAATTGGATCAGACCTAGTGAAAAATATTACTTTTATTGTCTTGCTTCTCTTTGATCTATGTGCAATAACAATTAGCTCTACAGAATAAAAATGGTAATGAGACAGAAGCTTAGGGCAAATTACAGGTAACAATCCAATTTCAATGTGCCAGTAAATATTATCTCCTCCTTTCCTAGAAACATGTAGAAACTGATGGCAGGACTTGAAACTTGACTGAGCTATCACTGGTATTTGATACTGAGCTACAGATATTTGCCCTTTCTGAAACTGGCAAGATATCCACTGTAATTACGAACTCTATAACCCTGCTTTCCATCTCCAATTTACAACAGATAAATTTACAGATTCAGGTATCTGAGTAGGGATTTACTTCAACACATTTATGCTTGCAAAAGCTATAGCACCAACAGTTTACCCAAGGTTATGATTTTTGGAGAGAAAGAAACTATGTGGAACTATTGTATGGACCTAACACTGAACTCAACATAATGGTCACTTATCCCATTGCTTTAAATAAATTCCCCTCTGAACTATTCCTTCTTCCAAAAGATCAACTCAGATTGGTTCTATGAAGTGAAGAATTACTGCTCCTGTGAATTCTGACCTTTAGGAACTGAAAATAGCACATATCATTTCCTATCAGCTGGATACCAACACTAAATCTATAAATGAACTTATTTGTCACTATGGATTTATGCCTGACTTATTTATTTGGGTATGGTTACAGCAGTCATGCCTGTGATACAAACAGGCTACAGTCAGAAGCAAAACTGCAAGAAACAAGTGATTACATGGGTTGACACCAATAAGCATTTCAACAATGAACAAAATTAACAGTAATTCTACATTGGCAATATCTTAATCTTTGCAATCACCTGCAAGAACTCTTTTAGGCAAGATCCTGCAGAAAAACAGCTTATATAAACTAGAAAAATGTGTCTAGAGCTACCCTCTAGCAAGGCATCTGCATATCTTTATTTCTGGCACTACTCAATACTTACCACACAGTCCCAAAGCTTTTGGTTCTCTGGTCCTATTAAACTCTATAATCATCACACCTGTGTTGTGAAACCACTGAATTCTGATATTTGTTGGGGTCTCAATTGCATACTTGAAGCCCGAATCCTTGATTTTATATCCATATTTTCTAATAGTAGGCCAAGCAATTCTTGAATTTACTGTGATCTAAAACACAAACAGATAAACAAGAGTTTAAATGTCAGAAATAAAATGCTATCGGTAGAAGAAAGAAGGCTTGATTCTCAACAGCTTAGGAACCTAACTCAATTAATTTCAACAGAAGTCAGGCCCAGATCTACACAGGCACTGTAGGTAGGCACTAAAGAGACTAGCAATGAGTTAGTGCCCCCTGCAACTTAGCTCGTGCCTTTTCAAATATATAAGCAGCTTGTTAAATATCAGTACTCTAACAATGAACTATATTACTATTGTATCTTAATCTAATCTGCATTATCCAAACAAGGTGGTAGTTTCTGATTACAGGAGGATTAAGATACTATCTAAAAAGCAGAGGAAAACAAAACCGCAAAATACCTACTTTTCTGCTTAAACGATCAATAGTAATTTGGTTTGATATATAAGTTAAATGCAACATTGCCAGACACAAGGAAGTTGAACCTGATTTACTCTGTGGAGAAAACAAAAATATAAAAACCACAGTTAAGATATGTAAAAGTTATACATCAGCTGTGTACTGTTTCTAAGTAATGGGACATAAAGGATTTTTCTTTTTGTATTTTTTAAGAAGAAAATTGTTGCTATTGTAGTTTATATAAAAAATGCATCCATGCTCTCGTCTCTCAGCTGTGATGGTAAATCTGGACTACAATGTTCATCTACATAGCATTCCTTCCAAATTATACAAATAAACATTATCATCTTCCAGTGTTCATGGATATGGTTGCATGGCCCCATCTCGAAATTACAACAGATATAATAGATTTCATAAAAAGAACAAGAAAAAATAGCAGTTTGGACACTGAAAAAAATAACAAAACATACTAAAAGTGGACAAAAACTAGACTGGGAATGATAAATACACACGATATATAAACTGTACAGAAGTAAAGGATCAGAAATACATGCTGAACCAAACAGATTCCAAAGCATTTAATACAACAACAACAAAAAGAAACAATGTGAAAGCCATAAGGAGATCTCCTTTTTCACAGCAATTGCACTGAGCTTCTAGAACTAACCTCCACAAAGTACTACTGAAGTTAAAACTTTATGTTGAACATTTGTATATACTTCAAGATTACTCAGCTTTCATAATAAAGACTGGTGTAAAAAGGAGCTTTTTAAAGGCTCACAAACACTTACTCTTCATGATGTAAATACAATTTCTACACTAGCCATAAGGCAGGATATTCCATAAGGGCTTTCTTTAGGGCTTCTCTCTTCCCTCTCTGAAACACCATACATTTGCCCATATCAGAGATTTGCAATGACAAGGTGGTGTAATTTAGTCTGATATTGTTATGTCCTCTTATGCCTCTTAAGCTTTGTGTTTCCAGTCCAAATGTCTCCATATGAAAATATATAAAACTATGCACTGAAATACACTACTAGGCTGAGCTAGCCTGCATTCCTCCTTCATCTGAAAAACACATCTAGGGTGGAATGAAACTCGAGAAGGAGTTCAGGTGTTACTTCTCACTCTGAAAGATATTCCCCAATGACATGCAAAGCGGTAATGCCTCTTCTAAGAATTCTGATGAATTCTACATACCTTTGGTGCAGCAAAATCAAGTTGCCTATCTATTAGAAGGATAAAAAAATTGGCATTTGCTTTATGGCAGTACATGATGCCATTTGCAGAAGTGACTGATGTACATATGACCATTTAATCTCTTACCATCTTGTCTATTTTACCTATATAATGAGATAATACTATTTTACCTCCCTCCTATCTTCCAGCTCTGTCAAAAGGAATCATGCATTTTCAGCCAGGTGACAAAGCGCTGTGCAAGTGTAATCCATAGATGTTGCATACAAGTGAACAATGCGTCACTATTACGTAGTAATACCATGCTCTATTTATTTCGAATTACATGAATCAGAGGCATATGTATGTAACTCATTTCTAACATCCATCTTATTAGCAGTACTAAGCACCATTTATTAACCTAATAATTCATAAATGTTGGTTACCGTTCTGCAGTCAAGGACATGGATGGCTATAGTTTCATCTTGAGTCTGACTAACAATGTAGGAGGCTTCTTTGAATAAAGCCAAATGATTTCCATCGTAGGTTACAAAGCTCATATCAGAGAAAAATGTACAACGACCTAAATAAAAATAAGAATAGAATAAATGCATTTTTATTTCTATGTCATGGTATAGAAAAGCATCAAATCTTGGCCTCCTTACAAATCCACCAAATTGTTATCTCAATTCAAATAAAAAATAATGCGTAATTAAAACTTACATGCACATTCCCACTTTGGGCAGCATCTGTCACCATTCGTTTGAGCAGCAAACCCCAGAACTCCACAGCTGGGCCGAGTCGTGTTGTAGGGGCAGTTCTGGGACTTATTCACTTGAATGAGGTGTCCGTCCAAGCATATGTGCTTTATGCACTCATCCTCTGAGATTGGCTAAGGCATTTTTAAAAGACGTAGGTTACCATTCTTACCAAACTAATAACACAGCATTTCAGAGGATTTACTCAAAAAAGGAGGTCTGAATTCTTCAGGTACAGAATCACAGAATCAAGCATAGATCACTTTTGATTTCAGGACTACATATATTAAAAAGAAGTCAAGAATAAAAAAGCACGCAGGAGCAAACATAAGTAGGAATAATAATGGGGATCTCTGGGAAGACGTATTTTATCAATAGCTACCAGACAGAAAATTGTCATTGAACAATATGAAGTACCATATTTTACCAAAAAAAATATTGTAACAATCACACTCTGAAAAACGAGGCCCAAAAGATGCTATATTATATCAGCTATAAAATTCATTAGGTACAGTAGAAATCATCCAGACTTTCAGATGTAATTAAGAAAATAATATGGTTCCTGTTTGATACCTAAAATCCCTATGGATCAAAACATATGGCTCACAAATAATAGTTTATCAGTGTGTCCAACTGACCTAGCCATATTCAAATCCAGATAACTATTTAGAATATTACTCACTGTACAAGCTTGGAGAGTTGCTGTTTTTCTTGCTGGCATAAAAGTTGATGCTGTGACTCTTGAGATAGCTTCAGCTGTTGCCAATCCATCAGAAAATGTTGTAGTCAATGGATAAAGGGGTTTGGTGGATAAAAAGGGAAATGAGGAAACTGATGGAGCTGTTGTGTCATTTGGATGGTCAGATATCATTAGCGAACTCACAGAAGTCATCCGCACGTCAGATGATATTCCAAGCTTCAAAGCTTGAGTAGCATCACCCAATGACGCAGCTGTAAAAGAAAATGGTTTTGGTTCAGTGGATGAATGTGGACATTACTGACACACTTACTTTAGAAGGAATTGCAATTGTATTTATGAAGTATGGAGGAAAAAAAAAAGTCTGCAGAGTTTCTGGGGTAATGGTAATACCTTGTATATGGATGGCTTGGACCTCTGTTGCTAATTCTGGCTCTTTAGATTTTATTGTTTCAGGGGGCATAGACCCTTTTGCTCCTGAAGTAACAGAAAAGGAAGTGGGTTTCACAGAGGTTGTGACGGATTTCCTCACTGTTTCTGCTTTCTCTGAAGTTGCTGATATGGTAGTAAAGTTTTGCCCTGTACTGCTTCTCTTTGAAGAGGCAGAACTTACAGCTGATGAACGGGCTGTAGCTGGCAGCATCGTACTTGTAAGAATCATGGAACTGTAGGTAGTGGTTGAAAGTGGGACTTGCTTAGACGATACAGAAGTTTTCTGTGTAATAGTTTTGCCCCCTAATACGGATGCTGTTGAGATCACAGGCGTTACAAAGGCACCTACTGATGACTCACTAATAGTCTTTTCTGTTGTTTCTGTTAACAAAACAGATGGAAAGGTTGACTTAAGTTCTGGTGAAGCTGTAGCTCTTTCAAATGTTTGACCTGAAACAAGTGATTCACTGACTGAGGGCTGCCAGGTGAATTTCAGACTGGTACCTGCCTTTCGTGTGGAAGATGAAGGAAGTTCTTCCTTCTTAGTTGTTGCTAAAGAGGTTGAAGCTGCAAGCAGTTCTGCTAAGGAAGGGAGAATTCTGGTGCCAACACCCAAGTCAGCTGTTTTTCTAGTCAGGATTGTAGACTGCAAAGCTGAAGAAGTTCTTGATACATACGGCTGTGTGACTGAATCAGTTAAAGGTAATTTCTTTCCAGTTGGTAGAATAACTTGTGTAGGAACTAGTGAGGTAGGTGATAAACTTGAACGAATACCTTCAAGTAGTGAGGTAGTTAATGGGTAGGAGGAAGTCAATGCTACTGGAGTTTCAGTTGTGCTTAAGAGAAGCTGTGGCTGACCAGTGGATTTTGTTAGTGTTTCTGCAGGATACTGGTAAACCGGGGTACTGCTCTGGCTTGTCAAGGAAGGCTGTGAAGTGTGACGAGCAAGTTCCATTGTTGTCTGAGTAGAAGGATGTGGTGTAACCACTAAGGTCTGAGCAGAAACGCGCTCTCCTGACAATGTTAGCCCAGAAGAGGGTTTTACTGAAGAAGGAGTAAAGGATGGCCGAGCTGTAGCTGCTGGAAGTTTTACCGTATCTGTTACATTTTGGACTGCAGGCTTTGCTGCTGTAGAAATTATTTCAGTTTCTACCAGATATTTTGCTGTGGTTGTTACTTCAGGTATCATTTGTGTTAAAGATGATGAAGAAATTGATTTATCTGACAGATATAGAGAGCTGGAGAAAGTATAAGACTTTGTCACTGGAAGTACAGCAGAAGTGGAGAGAGTTGATCTTTCCTTGGCTGCCATTGCTTTTTTGGTTGTTATAAGCTGACTGCTGAATTCAGAGGATGGAGAGAATGTAGCATAAGTGATATTTAAAATTGCCTTTGCTGGCAATTTGTCACGCGATACTGTTGCTGTTGGACTTGATTGTTGTGATATAGTTGGTACAGAAGTGTAAGCTGGGATGGGGATGATCTTTTCTGTTGAAAAGACAGGTTTTGCTATAGTTGTACTTGGATATGAAGAGGTAACAATTTCCTGTGATGTATGCATGGGACTGAGAGCTGTCAGTGATGCTACTGTCCTGTATGTGGGCAGGGAAGGAAGGGAAGCATTTAAAGACATTAGAGTGTGTGATGTTGAAGAAGGGAAAGCAGGTGGCTGTCTAGTAGAGATGCTAGTAATTCTTTCCACTTGTGGTTTATCAGGCTGTGTTGTCAATGGTGTGATTTCACTTGCACTAAGAGTAAATAGAGATCCAGTGAAGGGTATTCTTTGAAGTGAGTCTTTTTCTGTAGCTACCAAAGGACCTGCAGTCACTTCTTCTGATGAGACAGAAGTTGTTTTTGCTGATGCGGTAACAGCATCTGAATATGCTGCAGTGCTCATCTTCACTGTACTTAAAAGTACAGGTGACTTGTACTCTGCAGATGTTTTCCCAGAAAGCAAAGTTGACTTTGCTGATAATTCATAAGTGGATGTTATTTCGGATGTTACCTCTGCAGGTGAAGGTGTTACCCTTGTAGTCTCAGCTAAAACAGGATGTTTAGTGTATAATGTAGTTAGGAACTCTGTTGTGTTTAGAACTATGTGTGGGGGATATCCAGTAGTTGACACTGTTTTAAATGTTTTTTTTAGTTCACCTAAATATGGAGATACAGGAGTAGAAACAGACACTGCAGGTCTTTTAGTAGCAAGAAGGAGGAATTTTTCAGTTGTAGCTGAACTTGGATGTAACAAATATGGAGGGAAATAGGAACCTGATGAATAGTCCTTATGAGATGTTGTTTCAGGAATTTCCTTTTTAAGCGTTGCAAATGGTAGCACAGTTGTTTTTGATGTTATCTCTTGAGTCTGCAGAGTTGCTGCCTTTGGACTTAGAGATGTAGTCAAAGCTACCCTGGCAGTACCAGTCAAGTGTTGAATCATTTCAAGAGGAGGCTCTGTAATTGCCTTTCCTAATGAAACAGGTAGTGTGGATGTTGGGGAAAACGTAGTCCTCATCCCTTGCTTGGTTACAATAATTGTTGTTTTTGTTGTTTCTGAAGGTATTGGCTCTATGCTCGGCTTCGGCAAAGACAAAGTAGTGATCACAGGAGGAAGAGAAGTTACAGTAACATTAGATACTGTGGTAGAAGACTGTTCTGCACTTATTTTCATTCTTTCTGAAGTTCCTGTTAGATTTACTGGTGATGCGTATGAAGACATGCCCAGGGATGATGAGTACTGGGTCAAATTTGTAGTAGTTTTTTCTGTTACTGTCCCAAAAGAACTGGGAGTAAATTTTGTAAACCCGTCTGGTTTTAATTCCATTTCTTTTACAGGAAGTGTCCTTGCAGACATGATTTCTGATGTTTCCATTATTTTAGTTTTCACAGGCAACTCTGTTGTGAGTATTGAGGGTGGTCCAGCAAGAACTGCAGTAGAAATCGGCTTGGTTTCTGATTCTGATACATGTGTAGCAGTTACTGTCTGAGGCTCTGTAGCTCCCAGGGGCTTCACAGAAGCACTACTGGTTGCTTGTATCCTCGTGGACATTTCTGAAGTGACCGTAGATGGAAACAATGGAAAAACGTCACTAGGAAAAGACAAGCTTACATTAGATTTTGTTGTCCCAGACACAGCACTTTTCCCAGGTGATGTCATCTCTATTGAACGAGAAGAAACGTTTGACGTTAATGTTATGGTTGAAATCACTCTTTTAGATGTAAGAGCTGAAAATTTTGTTTTCCCTGTAGTTACACCAAGTTGCCATTTTGAAGCAAGTGTTGTTTCCATGTCCTTTTCCTCAGATACAGGAAATGAAGTTACTGCTTCACTGGACACTGCCAACTTGGAGATCACAGCAGTAGTTGATGTTATGTGTGAAACTGCTGGTGTTCTAATGCTGGACAGCAAAGCTTGACTATCATCTGCAGGTTCAATGCCTGAAATCACACATGAAAAAATGGTAGTCTGTGATTAATAAACTAATTAGAGTTATAAAGGTAATGAAGCTAGAAGGAAATTATCTTAACTCATATTGCTGTGATCTTTTCTCTTGAATTTCTCTAGTGCTTCCAAAATGCACTCAAAAATAAATTAAATAATTTGCTTCATACTTAATGTTATTATTTTTTTTGTGTGAAGAAAGAAATATTAGTTTAAAATTTGTCTCACAGGGAAATAACTTTAAACAAAATACATGTTCAGTGACAAATCAGTATTATAGTTACATAATATTACATAATCACCCATACTTGGAAAATTTGTCTTAAATATTATATAGGAAATTAATAAGCTAAGTATTATACATATTATATACAGTTTTTCAAACATACAGTCTTCAAAATAAACGCATCTTTGAGTTACTTCATCCAGCACCATGTTGGGAGGACACGCGGGGATGCATCCTTCCACTCTTAAAAACAAAAACAAACAAAAAAACCCAATTATTATTAACTAGTGGAACAGTGCTTTCTGGATGAACCATTCTATTTTAGGAAACACTATCTATCTGTAAAGTGTTTATGAATAGAGAGCCTTCTTCTATATCTCATCACCTCAGGGTATTCCTTCAAACTGTCATTGCCATGATTTCCATTTTCGCACAAATCTAAGCTAAAGCACAGGCTCCACTATACTCGGTTTTTGAAATGAACAGTGGCAGGTTTGATGGTAAATGTTATCAATTAGGAAATTACAAACATTTTTTGCACACCAGAAGTATTCCAAATGCCACTTTTATCAGCCTTACCACAAGTTCCAGTCTAGTCAAAGAGCACAGTGGGTACAGAAAAGTAAAAGGCAAGGACAAATGCGGCTGTTGCAATGCCATAATAAAAAAGTAGGGACAGGACTACGTGACACAAACTGATCATCTCCTCTCTTTGCTAATACTCTATAATATCCTCTAGCTTGGAAGTTATTAATATACTAGTAATTCCAGACACTGATGGCAGCAACTGTCATGTAAAAATACCAATTTCACGTAGCTCCCACAGCGTTTTTATTTTTTTCTTCATTTATTTCCTTATATAAAATCATAGGCCTGCTATACTGTGCCTATACCTGGTTCCACAAATGCTTATTATGATGTATATAGGCATCATTCCATTATCCATGCTTTTCCATAAAAAAAAAAACAGATACTTACTTTGGGACTGCCTGACAGTTCTTTCCCAAAGGGTCTCTGCACGTCTTGAAACAAGGGCTTGTACAGGCATCATAACGCCACTCACATGCAGAATGGGGTAGAAATTGAAATTTGACATCTGAAAAACAACCACAACAGTCATTCTCCCACACTTACAGAAACACACACGCATACATGTCAGTAAAATGCATGCTTAAAGGTTCACTGCAAGTCTAAATCCTTTACTGTTTCCATCTGTATTCTCTATGAAGGAAAAACATTTCATGACTGTTAAAGTCTTTAAGGCAGAGAGGAACAGCTTGTGTTAGTGCACAGTATAGTAAATAGCACTGAATATGCAACCTATTTTCCTTTTTGCAATATACAGTACATTATCCTTGCTTAATACATATTACAATCACTTTAAATCAAGGCCAGGCAAGCTCAGGGCTGTTGCTTTTTAAGTTGTAAAAATTGCATCAACAACTGCATCAACAACTATATTTTTGATCATTCATAAAAAATGTGAAACCAGCATGATGTTGATTCTGTACAATTGAGGAAACTAACTCTTGGAGAATGTCTTACAGATATTCTCCCCTTCCAAATGCTAAGGAATTCTTCCTGCATTTATAGAAGCTACTCCTCTATCGTTATTAACTTTCTTAATAAAAATAATTCTCCTAAATCAAAACTATAAATCAAATTCAAATACACTCATGCCCTTCTTAAAGTAGAAAAGTGTATGTTGCCATCTAGTGTTATCCTTTAGCAGTCCTCTACCCAAGAATCATTGCTCTTAGAAACATAACTTTTTCTAGAGTAGCAAACGTATCCACAAAGTTTTCATAAATAACTAAGCACACTTTACTGAACACATCTGTGACTCCTTCTGGTGAAAGTCATGTCAGTCCTTCCAATTGAACAGAGGAAGCCAGGATCCCGTACGTTTGTTGATATGATGCATGGGGCTCTGTAGCCTTTTTTCAGAGTTGTAAGGCTTGGGGACAAACCAGAAGGATGTATGAGACTGAACACATCAGAGAGCAACGGACGTAGGCAACCCCTAACTGCAATAATGACCAGCAATACCAGTATATCCTCATGGAATCTGGGAAATCTCATTCCTCAGACCACCCTAGATTGAATACTGGTAAATATGCCAGACACTTAACTTCAACTCTTACCACAAACCTCTCTTAATTATAAGAGAAGTTTCATACACAATGAAGGAAACAATCTTGTACGAGATACCACAAACTGATGAAAAACGCTATTTTCTCAATTTAGCAGAACAGAAATCCTGGATTAACACTGTGGTGGTGTTAATATACTTTCTCCCACTTTTCAAATACTTAAGTCCCTCTAAAACAATTGCCACGTTTCCCTCGAGCACTCCTACAGACTAAGTTCACAGGATTTCCAAGTGTTGCATGCCTTTATTTATTTATTTGTTTGTTTGTTTATCTTGTGGAAAGCCATAGCATTTGCTGTGTGGTTGATAAACAACTCTCATGCAGGAACTGACAAAGTCATTGTGTCTGCAACTTTTGTTCTCTGCTTCTCCAGAAAGAGGGAAAAGAGTGCTGAATATATTCCATGAACTGTTTTCCAGTATCTCAAAAGTTTTGAATGGGGTTCAGTATTTCCCCCTGGGGAAGTCAAGGCTGTTCACTGTTTCGGGAAGCAGCTTCTCCAGGATTAGGGGAATGGCAGTTCAACTGCTCACGATACAGCAAGTTCTCACTATAGACAGCATCACTTGCAGAAGGCCCAGGCAGATCACAGAGCAAGCTGGCCAAATGTGCCAGCCAGTGTAAAACGAAATGCAGCAAGATGCAGTTCCTGCTAAAACAGCTCCCTTTTCTTAAACTGGTGGAAATACTCTTTTCACTGTAGGTACCAGTTTCAGGCTAACCATGATCCCAGACAAACCTCAGCTCTGCTGTTCCTGCTGTACTTTACTCCCATGACAAAGACCAGAGCCGAGAAACTGTGGACTTCACCAGGACCATGGCACAAACGCCTTCTCCATTTCATGCTCCCCATTTTTGGAATACTTTAACTCCCCTGGCAGGCAACAGTAAGAGGAGCTCGCGGTGCGCGACGCAGCCGCCCGCTTCTCTCACAAGCCAGGAATGATGCTTGGTTTGCCGACCCCGAGTCAAGCTGCCTGCACGGCGCATGTGTTCCTCACAAGGATTCGTCACGGCATTTGGAAATAGCCCTGTGTCTCCTGGTGAAATCTATCGGCGTTTCTCTTCTCCTCGGTGACATAACAAATCCTTAACAAAATGGTAAATTATGCCCTGGATGACGGGCATTCCAGCCCGCCTGCCAACTGAACCCAAACTGCTCTTACCTAGGAGGAGCTGAGCATGCAGCGCGCCAGGGCACTGCAGAAAGTCACTCTGCAAACGCAGGCGTTCAGCTCGCCGGGCACAAATACGCTGCAAAGATCCCACCCGGCCCCGTGCCTGTGCTCCAACAGCAGAGAAGCATTTGCTTCCCTACAATTCACAATTTGCATTCTTCCTGTCTTTCAAAGTCAATCCTGCGGTAATATGAATAGTTACCACTTTCAAATGAAGAGTTTGCTTTTTATCACTAAGAAACCTTTGCTGGGCCACAGCAACATTTCTTACTAGCTTAGCTGCTGTTTTGTTGACACTTTTACTATTCACGGCTCCTCTCTTATCCTTTATTTTTTTTACCTTGCAAGGAGAAAATTTGCCACTGACAGAATCTACATAGTATGAATAATTCTGCACATGCCCTATTAAAAAATACTTAAAAAAATACTAAAATGTGAACTCTATTGAACCTATCAAATAGTTACATTTAGAACAGTTATACTTAAAATATATTATCTCAACTAGTCACTTCAAAGAAAAAAGGCTTCACTCATTTAAAAAAATCAAAATTCAAATGAAGCATTTTAGTTGACTCAAAAAACATGAAAAAATGGAGTATTTTTCATTTCGATGTGACACTTTTGTTGTTTTTCCTAGAAATTTCAAAGATTTTAGAAGGATAAAAATTTACTTTAGAATTATCTCTATTTATAACAGCAGCAAGACACTGCTTAGTAACTTAGATTACCTCCTTCCTCAGTTACAAGTTTAGAAACATGAAATCCTATCTAGCCACTTACATATACACTCTACCAGCAAACTCTGCTCATGACTTTAAGTTTCTGCAATGAGAAATGGACACAAGTATCACTGAAAAAAAATAAATTTCATGCCTAGACAAAACACTGCCAAACGCCAAATATATTTATCTACCTCTCAAACACTTTTGCTTTGGGTTCCCATGATGATGTTAGCTGATCATACTCTTGTTGCACAACCAATTAATCTCCTGTTTATTTACACAAAAAAGGGGGTCAAAAGTTTGTGTTTGTGGTAAAAGCTGCTCAGCATTATAGTGCTACAGCAACTTCAGTGTGAGTACAAGAGCTACTGAGCAGATGTGTGTAGCAACATACCTAGGATTTGCAGGTATCCAGCAGCTGCTCAGCATTATCTAGGACCAGGCCCCTTGTCATGATCACTTGGCCTGGTGAGCAGGAGAGCTCAAATGAAACTCGAGAGTAACCCATTCCAAGCAAAATGTGATATTTTAGCACATGAATTCTACTGAGGGAAATTAGTATGAGTAAATTAAGTTAAGCTGGTCCATTACAACATGAATAAACTTTTCTAAACAGGAAAGATGCCTCTCTCAAAAAAGTTTTCATAAAAAAATCTAATTCATTTTCACTTTTATACCATTTTTATTCCTGAATTTGTTTCAAATAATTAAGATTCAGGCATTAAAATCAACCAGAAAGGTCCTATATCAGATGCAAACCTTGACAAATTTTCTCTGAGCACCATGCATGTATTTTCTGCACATGAAACAAATCAAATTTTTACTTTAGCAGAAAATTCTCAGTGGTACAGGCCTTATTTTACAACAAATTAGTTACTAAAGGATATAACTAACATTATTAAGAACTTTGCCACAGAATTTACACAGGATTTATGGCAGGTCCCTTGTTTTTTTTATAATATATAAAAAATTAACTTGTGATGATGATAAAAAAAATAAGGTACATTATGGTGATTCTATGAAAGGTAAAAAGTAGCTAGCTGGAGCCCATTCTGAAAAATAAAAGTATATAAATCTTCCACCAAATCCTTGAAAAGATCATCAGTTGCCTACTTTCACCGATTTCCCAACAATTTCAAAAACAAATTAATCACTCTTACATGACATTTCATCTCTGCACTTGTTTGTGACTCAGTATATTCTTTCTCGTCTGCATGTATACCAGTTCAGTGCACAAAACGTATTTCCTTGTGAACATGTGTACCCTAGATATTCAATTTCTATCATCAAGCATTCGTAACAAACATAACAAACATTTGTAGCAACAGGAGAGCAAACAAATCTGAGCATAAGAAAAACAATTTAAAAATTGAGGTGACTATTCATGGAAAATACTTGCAGTGTTAGCCCATCATATCTGTGTAATTTATAGCCAACGTATTTCAATATGACTGTATTTCTTGCTATGAAAGTGGAAAAAGTGACTCGTCATCTGACTTTAAACAAACATGTATCTATTGCTGTGGTGATCAGGTCATGTAAAATTCTTCCTTTTGAACGTGCGTCACAGAGCATGAAGAAGTCTCATGAGGAGCTTTCTGGCCAAGGGGATTTACTGGGGCTATTATTCTGCTCCCGATAGTTATCCTCTGATTCCGCAGGAATAGCTGTTCCCGGTTTAAGAGTTTCTGATCTGATATGCAAAGCATTTACAATAGTCAGCAGGAAACTCAATCTGCTTTTGCCTGGGCACTCTGGAGCTGGTGTAACTTTTCCATTAACTTAAACAAATGCTGCCGTATTTTTAGACCATGTAATTACCCTATATCAGCAGGCTGGGCCCTGTGAAAGCACACTGGAGAAAGATTCAAGCCCAATGTTTCTCTGCTTATAAAACTCTGAAACTCAAGCCCTCGGATGTGGTGATTAATGAAATGCCTCTTGAGCATTTGATCTGACCCCACTTGCTGAGGCAAATTGTTTTAGTTTTCCATTGGCATAGATAGGATTTTTGGGTGTAATGACTGGAAGGCAAAGACTTCACACTAAAAAGACATACCACTCTGTGTTAATGGATGACCACTGAGAATTAGAACATGTTTTAACCTTCTTCATTCCTCCTTCAAAGATAAAAGACCAGAGAGCTATTTTTATGTCCAAGAAAAAGGTCTTTGCTTGAAATGCTGTTCGAACACAGTGGTAAAAGCATCAGCTCTGTACTTCGGCTGTTCAAAATCTCAACAGCTCTGGGATTACAAGCATTTGTCAAGAGGCAACAGGCATTTGGCAATGACAAAATCTGTCATTCTTCTGAAGTTGGAGCGTGCCAGTCAACAGCTGCATTAGGCTGTCATCATAATGCACCGCAGAACATCGGCAGATTCACAATGCCACCATTAACACTTTAATTCAATGTTTTGATAACATGAAGCTCCATGAGGCACAGTTGGCCTCTTCTGTCATAGAAGTCAGTGCCTGTTCCAAATTTCTCTGTGCTAGTAATTCATAACGGTGACTATAAAAGATGGCCAGGTGATGCTTTGTTTGTTACAATATTTTCTTTTTTCCTTCTACTTCCGTTACCCTGATAAATCAATTAGCAATGCGTTTAGAAGTATACCACAATAAAAAGTCTCACCACATAAATAATAAATATTTTGTAGTGTTTTTGGAAATTTATACACCACACAGAGGCAAGTGTAGGTGTCACTGAGAAACACAAATAGCATATAAATGTGTTTTATGTAACTGATGCATCAATGCAATGCATAATCTCCTTTGTTTCATTTTATAGACCAATATAAAATCTTATTCTATATGCCGCTTTCATTTTAGCACATAGCTCCCAAATACTTATGAATAAGTCAAAACAATTATTCTGTTACTTTTCCTTACTACTTCAAAAAAGGAAAAAAACATTAACTAGTGGACTATTTTAATGGGTGTTTTTTGTTGCCAGTTGTTCTAGAAGCAATTTCTAGATCCATATCCTCAGAAGGCTTCATATCCCCTGTATTTCTCTCTCTCATGTCTCCGTGGAATATATCTACAGAAACAGGAATCTCTCAGGTACTTAGGGACAATCTCACGGCAGTCTGCACTGTGTATACAACAGTCCTTAACTGCCCAAGAGTCATCCAAGAAAGGACGCACGGATCCTCAGTGAGAGATCTGCATCTCCATTTACCTGGCACCTGAAACACTAAGGTGTGATACTGCAGTAGGCAGAGCCTCCAGAGTGGGCATGTGGATACAGGTCAAGGTCTTTTTCAGGAGAAACGTAAGGTCTGAGAAGCGTAATCTATACGTACTGCCCATTGCACGAGATGGCACGACCTCTCAGAGATGGAATAACCAAGCTTGAAGTGAGAATCCAGTGATTCTGGATTCTCAGAATAGTTTTTTCTCCATACTCTCTTAGAAGCTGTATTCACTTCTTTTCTGTTCCCTTCACGAATCCATTATTTGTTGGCATCAATGTCCTACACCTTAAGAATTTCCACAGCCAATATTGTCCACAAAGCACAAGGCTATTCAATCCCAAAACCAGTTGACCAATACAGAAGCCATGTGTCAAAGTATTTAACAGCTTTGTGACATGAAAACAGAATCTAGTCCTCACTACATAGTTCAGGGAAAAAGATTTTGAGCCTGCCCATGACAGGTTATGCACTGCTCACAATTATTTTGGAGGAGAGGTAAGTAATTCAACTCTGAAAAAAATCAATACAAAGTAGATTATACTTTCACTGAGAGCAAACTGCTGCTCATAAAATACCTGTTTAATTACCTACCTGCAAGTTTAAAAAGGGTTGACAGTCTGAACTCCTCTGTATGATGGTACTTCAGAAGCTCAACTGAAGAGGCTGAAATGTGGATGAAGTATCCTGGTTTTGCAAATGACTCAAAAGAACTGTATCCTGAAATCCATGTATTTTTGTGAATGGCAAAGGTAGATTTGTTGTGAAACTCTTCACTTTTTTCCCATTTAGAAAGAACAAGAGAATTATTGGAGGACAACTGTAGAAAATAATTTGGTCTCTCCGCTGTTTCAAATGAAACCAAGTTGGAATCTGAAAAAAATACAAAGAACTCATTGACTTTCTGAAATACAACGACCTAGGCTCACCCTGATATAACACTGCTGATACTAGTAGCATGAGCAATGCAAACCAGCACTGGCATTATTAGTGAAACAGTCCAATCTTAATCCTGTAAATAAATATATTATATAGGAAGTTCAGAATGCTACATTCTAATGGTTTCACTGACAAGCTGGATATTTAACTTTCTAAATGCTGTGCTAATTGCAACTGTGTTGACAGCATATTATGACATTTACCCAGACCAGAATGAGGGAATATGGCCTAGCAGACGAGCAGAACTTCAGTGTACAACTTTCATTATCCAGTTTAATTAACCTTCATGTAACTAGTTTTATCACACTTGGCATCAGGAATTTATACTTCAAGAGATCATCCTTTCTTTAAAATTAAATTACAAAAACCATGTATTTTGCATTCAGCTTACAGCTTTCTGTCTTCATTTCTAAGCAGTCAGTTCTATAGCCTTTCCCTAAAGAACTTCAACAGCATGGTCTCTTTTCTGGCAAATGTACCCACATGATATGTTACCCTTAAAACTGTACTGTTGATTTCAAGCAAGCCCTTGTAGGATCAATTGCATCTTGGCAGATCTTGAGCCTGTTGCAGGCATCTGTTGCTCACAGAATTCCTCCTTTCAGTTTGCTGCAAACTCTGCTATTCTGTTTAAAATAGCCATCAAACTACTGTAAAAAATCAACTATGCCTCCAGAGCCTGGATAGCATTTCTTAAAAAAAATAGAGAACAAAGTCTCTATTAAACAGATATTGAAGCATACTTTTGTTTAACACTTCTGTTTTCTCAGCATAAATACATTTACTTGGACAGTCAGTACAATTTTTAACACTTGCCACCTAGCCAACTAATACAGTAGTACCCCCAAATTCCAATATTCTATGATTTGTCTAAAGCTAATAAAATCTTTCATCTTTCTGATGTAAAACAAAACCAAATTTGTAGTACTTGGGTTAACATACAAAACAACAAGTACATAGATGCATGAAAGAAGACATGAACATGATAAATATTGCATTGATTTTACAAACTCCTCTATGACCAGATGATGAAATGTCATCCTCTTAAAAGTGGACTGTGAGGCAGAGATCCCACTCGCCAGATTAAATTCCGAGAGAGACATTTGGTGTGGGACTAGAGCTGGAAAACCAACCTTCCCTTTCCAAACCTAAAGCGAATGCAATGCTCAAATGTCTCAAAACTATGACTAATAAAAGAAATCTGGCTCTGGATATTCTGTTACACACTTTCTTGTGTAAGAAGATAATAACATCACAGATCACATCCTTACCATTTTTCAGCTATCATTTTTTTCAACTACACAGGGATAGGCTGTCCAAAGACCTGACCAGGAGACTCTCTGGGCTGCAAAACCATATTGAAACTCAAGTACTTTATGAGTAGTAAAATTTGGTATGCACCTAACTCCTGCATAATCAATGTAACAATGTGCTGAATGTATTACCGTAAGCCTTCTCTGCCTACCTGAAGGGATACAAGATTTTTGTCTGCTGAATAAGCTACACATTCCTTCAATGGAAACCTCAGTTATGACTTGAAGGAGATGAGACGTATTTGCAGCACATACCACTATGGAGGTCAGACTACAGCCAGTGGCTATCTCTGTACAGGTCAGCAGGATTAAGGGATGGTGGTGAACAGCATGGGCTAGAGAACACTCTTCTTGTGTCAGTCTTCTCCCTTTCTTCCCCACCTTTTAGCTCAGCCATAGGAAAGATGAGGGGGACAAAACTTACCTGGAGCATAAGGCTACAATGCTCTTTTCTGTCCTTTGGGAGTTTTTTTTGAGAGGGGAAGAGATGCTTTTCAACTAAAAGTATTCCTGCCTTTTATAAAGCTACCATCATCTAATTAAAGCCAACCAAATGGAAAACTAGGCAGACACCTTTAAGCTTCAGAACCATCTGACAAATATATAGAAAAGTTTTTTTTATTTGGTCTGGGTCTATCCTTAGATGAAGGCTTGTGTCCACAAGCAGAATATGTTCTACCTTACTTAAGCTTCTAGCTTACAATAACCTTACCATGTGCTCTGGGTTTATAGAGTCCTGAAGTCAGCATAAAGTTCACTGTATGTCCAGGAACAATATCTTCTGTTCTCACAGGGAAAACAAAACCATTCCCCAGTTCCACTGCCACTGCAAATTCTCCATCCAAATAGCTGACCAGTTTGTAGGGGCCTTTTCCCAGAGCTGTTGAGAAAAAAAAAAAAACAAAATTACCTTTTATGTCAAATACTATAAATGTCTGAGCTCTAGATATTATGATACCACACATAATGACACAAGAGTTCTAGGTACCATGCACTAAATTGCAGTGACAACCAGAATAAAGCCAAACTGTTTTAGAAAACTCTTGTTCTGAAAACAGTGCCAAATATCTAGTTTCAATTCACAAGATTCATGATTAGCTTCTCCTTTTCCTCCCTGCTTCTGATGCACTTGTGTTTCACAGTCATTTCATAAAGTTAGCTGAGCCCTCAGAATTTCCCGTGGACAGGTACCCAAGTAATTTGATCTATAGGTAAGCAGAGTTATAAGGAATATATTGGGATGTCTCTAAAATGCTTTTTTGTATGCTTGATCTGAATATGCATTTTTTTTTACTATTATTTAAAATCATTTTTATTAATGCCCAAAGTGTGAAGAATTTTGCATGGAATAAGAGTTTGTTGGCATCAAAAAAAAAAAAAAAATCTGTGACCAGTGAAACACTCCAGCCCACATAATGCTGGAGAAGTGGGACATAAAGAAATTGGCTAAATAACACAGGAATGTACATGTTTTGTTTATAAACAACAAAGGCAGAAGCAAGTGATACAATGATTTTCAGAAATCTCTCAATGCCACACATATTTGGTTTGTTTCAGTTACAATGTACCACAGTATTTTACAGATCATTGTCAAACACTATGTGGAACGACCTTTGTAACCTTCTCTGTTAAAATCAGACATATTAGACTAGACCTGGGGAACTCTCTTCACTCCAGTTTTACACACAAACCAGAACACAGCCAGCGGTCCGCTGGGCTAGAAATAATCTCAAACTTCTCAGATGCAGCTAATCCTATCCTAATCCTGACACGGGCTCAAATGAGTTAAAAAATTCAGATCAATTTGCAACCATATGCTGCTTTTCCTAGTTTTGCAGCTCTCCCTAACCTTAAGGGTCATTGCCAGTCTGGAAATCCTCAGGGGGGCTACACATTGCATTCTGGTGGCATGAATGAACAGTCCAGTGAGGACACAAGCCCATGCCAGCTTCAGGCCAAGCAGAAGGACACAGGGAGGTGAAAAACATCTAAAAACTACTTTAAAATATTTTGTTCTGGAGGAGATTTTGTACATTAAAGTCTTACATCTCAGACCTTTCCAAAACATGAGAAATCACAACTACCAGTCAAGAATTTCGCCCTCCCCAAAACAAAAGGCTTCTGCTTCTGGTTTATGTGCAATTGGAAACACTTTGCTTGTACTTCATGACAAAGTTACTCCGAAAAAGTCCAAGGCAGCTTCTTAGCTGTCTCCAAAGCTAACTAATTTTTGGCTATGCTTCTGTATCCAAGGTAGAGAAGAAAACCTTCAGCCTTGCAATGACTTTCTGCTCCACTGAAATATCCTTTGTTGAATACTGATGAGCTAGACAACCATGCTTGTTACATGGTAGTAACACGCACAAATCTCTACTCTTCAGACTAATTTCTGTCAGTGATAATTCAATAATAAGTAAAACTAATACCACACTTCAAAAGTTTACTTCTTAATATCTAACTTCAATCTGTTGTAGCTGCAGTAAGATTACCTAGTGTCAGACTGTATTTCATTTACAAAACAAAAGAATCCAAAAAGGAAATGTAAGACCAGAGTAATCTCTTACATTCAATTGGACTTCTTTTAAAAAAATAAAAGTTTAAGACTGGCTACCTAAGCAACTTGACACCAATCAAAATCTTTTCAAAAATTTTACACCAAAGACAGCAAATTTCTTGGGCACATATTCTGGAGCTGACACATGGTACACAAGCCTCTTCTAACTTAGATTCATTTCCTCTCCAAGATTCTTCCTGGGGTGAGTTGCTGCCAAATAGAGTCAAATACAAGACCAAAATAGCACACATCATCTATCTAGACAGTTGGCTTCTAACAAGTTTGACAAAAACAGTTAAAAAATAGTAGAAGTCCTGATCATTATTCAAAACAGACTGCTTTACATAGTAATATCTATGCTATATCTAACTATGCAGACACTCTCAATAACTTTAAAATAGCCTGAATTTTAAAATAGTCTGAATACTGACTTCAGTGTTACCACAGCAATACAGAGCCCAGGGTAGATTAAACGACTTAAGTTTTACTCAACCTTGGACCAGTTTACCAAGGCTTTACTCACCTTGGACCAGTTTGGCACCTCTCTGAAATTCATTCTTACACAGCTGCAATCATAGAATGCTTAAGTTTGGAAGGGACCTCTAGAGGTCATCTAGTCCAATGACTGTCACTTAGATTTTAAAGCAAGGTGGGCATACCTAAATGAATAGCCTTTCCCTAATCTGAAAAAGTCGAAATATAATTTACAGCCAGCTCCCTCTGCGGGCTGCACAGGAAAACATAACTGGTTTGTCAGAACCATCAGTATCAACACTGGAGTGCAATATTCCTTACGCAAGATGTGTCGCTAATATGACTGGGTTGAATATTTTTTAATCATTTAATGATTTATTGATGACCCATAAAAGCAAGGCAGCTGGATTAAACATATATTAGTGAGAAAGGGCCATGATTAAAATTAAAAAGCTCAAGAAATTAAAAGCTTTCAGAAAAGCAAAATAAACCAGTAATATGGAATCTTGGTTATTCAAATAAGATTATCATTTGCAGCTATTTCATCAACACATTTTTTTACAGAGTATTAAGAGTTATATACAGAATATAAAGATTCTGTTGATGCCTTATCAGCTTCTTTCAGACTTACCTTTATTGAAATACTCACAGTCATAAGCTAAAAAAGACAAAAAAAAAAAAAAGAAATTTAGCTGCAGGTGTTCTGAAGCACTGAAAAACCCAGCTAAGCACGTTTTCCATTACCCCTTACTGCTGAAGTTGGCCACATTAGATGGTACACACACATTTATTCATTTGCCAAATACTTATTACTTTAAATAAAATGTTAATTTAAATTACACTAATTTTAATAAAGTATTTTTCTTTAGTAGCAATCACTAAGACAGATATCCATACCTACATAGATAAAGATACAGATATAAGGTTGTCTTTTTGTGACCTCTAGTGGCTAAGACTAAGCTGTGCTGTCTTTCCATGTTGACATTAAAACCCAGGAATACAATTTCTATCAGAAAATGTGAGTAACTCTGCTGTTCTGCTACAAATTTTCTGTGCGACTCTGGGCAAATTGTATGGACTCCCTGAGCCACTGCAAAGTTAGAACAGCACTTGTTTGCTTTGAAGTATTCTTTTGGTCTTGCCCTCTTCCATTACATCTTTCTTGGGGGAAACTATTTCTTGTTAGGCACTCACACATAAAACAAGTCTTCAGATTCTCTTTTTATAACCGTCAACACTGCTGAATAGGGATATTAAGTAAGGACAAAGCGCTGCCTAAATTCCTATTTGCTTTTCTTCACAACACCATAATCCTTCACTCTTACTCTGGGGACTACTCTTAGCCAGATATGTTTCCAACACTGCTTTAAGAAGTGAGGTTCTGAATTTGGAAGCAACCTGTGTAAACTTTGTATCAGTGCTTCAAACGTGTTCATTGACATCATGGGATACAAAAAAACAACAAAAGTATATCATCCACAAATATGAAAATAATTTATAATCCAGCTGGCCCAAAATGAACATGGAGAACAGTGAGAGGCATCTACTGCTCTTCCTTCCCCTGAGCAGTTGCTCAAGTCTTTCTGCTACTGTGTCTTAATGCTTGAAGTCCTGGGCTCATGCAAGGCAGCAGGCTTGAGATTTCCAGTCTGAGCCTAATACAGAGTGGTGGCCACTGATAAGGGTGGTTAAATAAACTTACGACACACTCTAGGGGACCTCCAGTCTACGGTCACTCCGTGCTGGCAGCACTGATGCGCGTATGCCGACACACTTGTACAGAAGCATTCACAGTCACCTCCTTGGTTACAACCGCATGTGTCTTCCAAGCAGTTTGAGTAAAACCAGGTGACATCAATCTGGAAACACAAATATCACTAATCAAAAACTATGCATATAGTCACTGGCATTCAGTCACTTCAATACAGAGCTATAAGTCTTACAGAATTTAGCATATATGACCTCTAAGCATTAAAGGTTTTACTTCAAACGTTCGTATGAAACACAGAAAGAACAGTTAACTAAAAAAACATCAAAAAATCTTCTACAGTACTCAGCTCCACAGCCAAATCCATGACCCAGCAGAAACATGCTAAGATGTTCCTGCACACTTATGATTTGCACAGTTTTATAATATTTAAACCTTACTAAACTACAAAGAACCTTACAGAAGCTTATGAAATAGTAAGAGAAACTCCACATAAACACAAATAAATACAACTCATAAGTGTTAAGAAAGTTAGATAAAGGTTAATTCACTTGCTTTACTGAAGAGTTACATGTTCTACATGGATTTACACTTGAATAATACTTACAAACTTAGAAGGAACTTTTGAATGATACTTACAAAGTTAGAAGGAATTTGGTCACTGCCTTAGGCGCTGGACTAAATCAATATTACATTACTAAAAGTTATATGTCAACATCCATTTAGCCCCAAAATAATATTATATGAAACTTCTCTGTAAGATTCCCAGTTGTCTTTCACAAGAAATCTTTCTTCTCCCTAGTAGCCAGTCTGACAGATAACAGTCTTTAAAAACTGCAGTCTCAATACCTGAACACTTTGGTATATGTCATTTTCTGTATAACGCCTTGCTCTAGAAATCAGTCCACCCATTCTCCAACTGAATCTGAGCCTGTTGACTGTCAGAACAAGTTGCATGGTCCATTTATTTCCTTTCCATTCAGATTGGCTGTCTGCATGCAGCCATTTTTTTTCCCTAGGAACAAGCTCTCCACATCTGATACTGTCTAGAAGCTGGAAAGTTATTTAAATATGCCCAGAAAATGTGCCTGCTATATTATATATTTGAGGAAAATAAGACAAGTGATTATGATTATGCAAACGTGGCAGAAAAAAAATGAGGTAATACAAACCGAGTATAATTCTGTCTCCATTAATTATAAAGGGATTAATAGGACTAACCAAAGTGTAGAATGCTAGGTGCCAAAGTAGTATAAGGAGACACTAACAGATGCCTTACTGCCTCAATTAGATAAGTGCACATTGCCATTATGACAAACCCAGTTAAACATTCACTTTTTAGAATCAGAATTGGTATGAACTAGGCTTTTGTATGTTCTGTTTTGCTATGACAGTTAAAATTATCCCATTAGAAAAACAAGATTAAGATTTAAGGCTATGTGAGTTTTTCTCCAGTGATCTATATTCAGGCCTTCACATCTATTTGTCTTCACAACTCACCACAGGATGGCAAGCTTCAAATGTTTCACTTAACAATATTCCACATTCCTTCTTGGCAAATGGCTCTCTGAGTGGATTCAAACTGCACGGATTTCGAATGTCAGAGCTGTCGACACACTTAACCAGAAAGAGAATATCAGAATACAGCACATCATTTTTGTGTACACTATAGAGCTACACAGAAAGAACACGAGTATTTTGTTCTTCTTCTCAATGGATTTGATACAAGAACCTCAGAGACTGCAATTAGTCCTGATACTGCAGGATTTCAGATACTGCAAAGTCCTAATTAGGACTTCTAGGAATTAATTAAGAGCTCAAATCTACTAGCAATTACCATCTTGTTACTACGTACCTCTACAGCGGTCCAGCTATTTCCAAACTCTTGTGAATTTGTTAATTCAAAATTATCTGGAGTTCTCAACTCATTTACAGTTTTCAAATCAAAATTTCCACATAATCCAGTCAATTCACCCTGAAAAAAAAAGTCGCTTCACTGTGAATTTGTCATACTTGATGAGAAGTGGTTTGCTGGCAATGTATTTTTGATGTTTCAATGAAACACCCGCCTCAGTCACATAAGGACTCTAAACTGAAGAAGACTGTTGCACTTACTATATGTGACTCCTGTATGTGACTACTGTAAATGAGACAAGGTAGTCGAATGCTACCTCCTTGACTCTGCCACTGCGTACCTAAGTGATTCCTGACACATTGCTATATAACATATACTACTTAATAAGACCTATATAATTATCTTATATAAATGGCATCAAGTACGCTGATTTCCACTCACCTGCCACTGATGACCCATCTGTACATGAACGGTTGTTCTCTGATCCCATAGGACAGTGATGTGCTCATCAGGAAAATGAACAACAGTAAAAAATCCAGCTTTCCAAACTTGTAATTTCTGTAGTTTGTCTATGTAACTAGATGAGCTCTATTCAAAATAAACCAAAGCAGTTTACAATGCAAGCAGTTCCTTTACAAAATGCTCACTTCATAGGAAATGAAAAACACTGGTAAAATGAATAACCTAGGTACTTCTCATACAGAAGTCCCAAATACTGACAGAGTGCCCCACAGGAACAAATGCTTAATAAAAGTAGGCTGGGTTTTGAATGTGAACAGTGTTGAAATTTTATGAATTGCCTTTTTTTTTATAAACTGATTTTATATTTGATTCATAGAATGCGTAATGGCAACCAGAGCAAAGATTAAAATGTCAGTGGTTCAACAGGGAGGAGCAAAATTAGTCATAGAGTTCCTAGATAAGATTTTCTTTTTATGATATAACACTATATCTAGAAAGTCTGAATGTACTGAAGACTCTGAATTATTCATAGCAAGGATGAAGATGTCTGGTTTAACTAGGAAATTCAAAGGGGCAAAAATTTTTTTGTGCAACTGATTTATAAACCACAAATAGTATTACTTAAATGAAATGTTATAAATACTGAATATGTACAGTAATAGTTTGCAGTTTGGTTGAAAATAATGAAAGTGAAGCTCACACTTTGATGCACACCAGGAACTGCAAATTATTTTCTGAAACTGTGTAGGAACATTCCTCCTATAGAACTATATCCCAGAACAGACGAAAAACTTAGTTCCAGTGTAATTTAGAGCAAAACTCCCTGGCTTAAAAATGCCCTGAATTTCCTTAGACACACCAGGGCTAGGCAGAAGAAATGAGATCATCTCATTTACCATTTTCATGAATTATATTTCAGATTTTGTCTAAAGTTTCCAGTGAACTTGTGCCTCTGCAACTAAAGTGGCATGATTTTTTTTTTTTAACCAATGAACAGAAATTCCTTTTCCTCCTTCCCAGCTCTCTAAAAGTATGTTTGTTATCTTTTAAACAGTGTTAAGGAATGAAACTTACTGGATTTCCAGTATCGTCATCAAATATTAAAAAAGATTTTCCAATATTAATGGAAAGGTATTTTCTACAAACATTTCCAGTATTAAAGCAGTTAATATTTTCTATAATAACTGAGAAGCTTGTTGAAGAAGTACCCTGCAGAGAAAACAATAAAATAGGGACTGTTAAATAACAACAAACTAATCTAACTATTTATATATGCATGCATGTATATATATAATACAACCAGCAGAAATGTCAGTATGTTATGCATAGTTCATTAAGCATAATATTATGCATAATAATGCTATGCATGGTTCAAAGCTTAAGCAACATGAAAGCTTAAAAAGTATTATGTAAAGCTCAGTATATGTACAGACAGGAAACATGTAGTAGGAGTAGTAGATTCTACCCTGCATATCAGACTGTAAATCTGAATGTTTAATTATTTCCATAAATTTGCATGCAAGCTTTGCCTTCTCCTGCTCATGCTTTTAAATCAAAACCACTGTTACCACAGAGAACCAAATAAAATTTTTTGGAACATTATATTTATTATTTGAGTGATAGCAAATAAGGATTAAAATACAGTAGCAAAGGTTTTTTTTTTTTTTTTTTTTTTTTTAAGAGATTCATGTGTAGAAAGTTTATCTAATTTATAAATCCAGTTTTGCAGGAGCTTTTTTAAAAAGTCTCACCTTAACTAGATAGACCTTACAAGTTCCAACAAAGTCAAACGCAAGTCCATCAAACGTTCTGTAATGTCGATCCCCGTAGGCAGTGCACATGGATGGGCAGGGATGGAAAGTGCATTGAAATGATCCATGTTGGCAAATGCTGAAAAATGTACGACCAATTATGGTAATGTCAACCGCAACCACAGACAAATGATTACAGCAATTGCACTGAAGAAGAAAAAACAGTCATCCTGACTAAGTCTGAAGATTACAGACAGAAGCATTTTTAAATGTTAACTAAAAGCAACATTAAAAAAAGAAAAAAGCTCTGAAAAAATGTTACATGCTGAACTCGCAATGTGTGCTTCACCCTGTCAGATTTTATAGGTTCCAGAATACATGGACACTGGAAGGCCATTTCTTTTATTGAAACAAGAAAACAAAAAATGCCTCTAAAACTATTACAACTTGTCCTCTAGTAACTCACAGTAATGAGCCACAAGAGTAAAGCCTTCTTTGTCATATTCTCCCATTACATTTGTTTCTGTATTAGCTGAATCACAGAATCGACACGTAATGCTCCCTTTTACCACAGTTCTTATTTACTCTCTACTTGAATGGGGACTTTACATTAGTAAAATGCATTTATAAATAAGAACAGATAAGATTTCATTTCCTGAATGCAGAGGTAGTATTTGAAAATGATATTTTGTAAGCTCCTAAGTCACTGAGACACTTAAAAAAATTCCCTTGATAAAAGCTGCAGAGCTTGCCCTCTTGTGTAACTTTATTATAGGTATAACTAAATAAAGGGTATTAATACAGGTTAAGCTAAATTTACTATGCGATATGGCTATGCAGTACGTTCATGTTCAAAATCATTAATTGATTAGTCTCCTGATGATTAAAGTGTTTCATACCTTACAAATAAACTGTGAATTTTACGTAAGAAAATACGTGAGAAATTGCTAATTTTTTGTCATCTCAAATCCTTAAGAGTGAGCTAGTAATAAGCTGATGTCTGTATTATCTTTATTTTCTATTCATATTGCTATAATATGTGAGAGGTTAGAATACTGTGGTTTTAGTAGGAATGGCATTTGTCAAGAAAACAGAGTAAATAAACTAAAGGCAGGTCCAGTTATTAGAAGCATCGTGTTTTCTTCTGTTCCCTTAGGATTTAACACCAAAAAACCTGGACCAGTTCTACAGATTTTCCAAGACACTGCTTATTCCATCACTGGCTTGGCCCACTGCTTTATATGAACACATACATAAATACACTAAGCATATTACTAAAATAATTTAAAAGCACTACATGTAAAAAGTGCTTGCTTTAACAAAGCACAAGCAGATGGCAGTAGGACTCGCCCCAGTTTAGTCACCTTAAAGCAGTGCCTAAGGTAGGATAAGCATATTGACAGAGAAATGCTATTGAAAGTACATTTGAACTGAAATAGTAAGTGTTGCTTCTCATGCTGCTTGTGAAGCACTAGGGATCAGCTTTTCTCTCAGCCTATCCAAAAACTTTTCACCATGCTGATGTATCAGGGACCCATGCAGAATTGTTTCTTAACAAACAATAGGTAGGGAGCCCCTTTACATAATTTTTAAGCCAAAACGCAGGCCTTGAGTCACATTATATCTTCAGCCAGACTTCAGCACCACAGTCGTGTTTCATGCTAAGCAAACCAGCATTTTTCTATCAGAGACTCCCAGTTGGAAAAGAAGACTATCAGCTTTATCTAAATTTTGGCTAGCTTTTATAAATATGTATTTCAAACAAGTAAATGCATAAGAACATAGCAGGCCCCACAGAGAATAACCAGTATTCCCTCAATGTCCTCAATGTGAAAAGCAAACTAGCCCATCTCACGGGCTGGGAAACAGACTTCAGTTCTCCAGACTCCAGCCCTAGATATGACGGTTCTCAGCTTTCCATAGGTAGCTCAGCAACTTACCAAATTCTACTTGTCATTTTACTGTTCGATGGAGACATGAGATTAACAGTTATGTTACTAATACTATATCATGCATTAATAAGATGATATTGAACACCAATACCAGAGTATTCCTGTGCGGTAAAGAGCGCTTAGGTGGGCTTGCTCGCACAGCGCTGTCATGCTTCACACGAGCCAACATGGACATTCCCAGGGTACACATCCCTGGGTACCTCTGGAGCACTCTAAAAGACCTTCTGCATTTCATGGCCAGTCTCACACGAGCCAACACGGACATTCCCAGGGACACAACAAACACATCCCTGGCTACCTCTGGAGCACTCAAAAAGACCTTCTGCATTTCATGGCCAGTATGTCACTTTTGTGGAAAGCAGAGCTTGTGGCAGACCTCCAGCCTGTCTGTGGACAACTAATTTCTAAAAATTCATTACCACTTTGCACGTCTTTACTTCTTGACATGGAAAACTAGAAAAGCCACGAGAGCCTTAGGGATCTGTGCATGAATTAATGGGCCTGGCCTCAGAAAAAGAGAAAGCAAGCTAAATATCCAGTATCTTCCCTCCTGCACTACTGCTGCCTTTGGTGAAGTCTCACACAGATTAAACGGGATCTAATGGTTCTTTCTGATGCAAGCAATCCCACACCAGGTCCACTCGGAGAGACCTTTGGAAATAAGGGGGTGAATAACCCGGGTCGCTTTACCTGCCTGCCCAGTGGAGATGGCTTGTAAGTCGCTTCGCCAGTCGACCAAAGGGCTACAAATATCTTCTAGAGCAGATAGTGAGGACCTGACGAGAGGCAGAGGGAGGCAGTCAGCACAAGGCTGGAGGGGCAATGACACCCAGACAGGGCCGTGAGCAGCACTGCCTGGAGAAGCCTTCCCTGCACTGGGCACGCTGAGCTGTGCAGGCCAGCAGTGGCAGCTCACCGGGGCACGAGCTAAATGCTCCTGGTAGGCTGAAAGAAGGGGACGAAAGGACCTGCTCTGTGGATGAACTGGAGGCTCAGCTCTCACACCACATCCTGATGCTGCATAATACGGCTGACTGACGTGAGGCTCTGGTGTGGCTAATGCTTAGCACCAGCTGGCAATGCTCATGAGCAGGCAGAGAAGGAAGCATGCAGAAACCATTGAGGAAACAGGTTTGTTTCAGGACTGTGCAGACTTGGTATTTTTTTTTCACACTCCTCTTGTGAAGCTTATTGACATGGTAGTGTAAAAAGTTCTAGCAAGAATGCCAAAGGACAGTTTGCAAAGTAACGTAGGTACAGGGTACATGTCACATTCACAATGAAAGCAATAACCCTCTACACATAAATGAGTGACCCTCTCATCCAATGTCTGACGCTTCTGTTCAAAGCTAATTAATTCATCAGCTGTCCTACCTCTGCACACAAAAACTAGCAACTAGTGGCTGAGTTCAGTATATGGTACTGCTCAGTAATTTCTTAAATTTATACTTGGGTTTATGTTTTGGGCTCTCAGGCTGCTCAGGTTTAACTCTAAATTTGAAAATGAAGAAGTAAAAAGTTGCATAAAGGTCATTATATTGTTTGAAGAAAATCTCCTATACTTTAGGAACAACTATGGAATATTAATTTAGATTATCTGGATTATCAAAATTAATTTAAATTATCTTGATAAATTTTTCTAAATCAAGCTTTACTTGAATACTGATTTTATCATTGCTAAATAAAAAAACATAAAGATTAAACAGAAAGAGAAATATAACCAAACAATTAAAATGAAATAAATACCTGTATAGAATTCTGCTTACCATGTATGGCAGGAAGAAACAACTTTGTCACCCGGAAAGTATTCCTTTCCTTTCCATGAACATGGACATTCATCGGCTTCCAAACATGCGTCTCCATGTTTAACAAGGCTATGAAAAATAGAACATGAAATAAGCATTCAATAGAAATACAGTTGATGTCCACACACAAAACATCTTTTCCTGTATTTTGAAATGATTTATGGGATTATTATTGAAAGCAGAGGCAGTATCTAAAACTTTCTTAAATTGAAAAAGGCACAATTTTATTAATATTTATAGATGTATAATTTGGTAATTTCCTATTTAATCTTTAATAAAACCCGCTTGGACACAGTCCTGTGCCACGTGCTCTAGGTGACCCTGCATGTGCAGGGGGGTTGGACCAGATGACCTCTAGAGGTCCCTTCCAACCTTAAGCATTCTGATTCTATGAAGTGCTCGCACTTTGGACATTAGCTTTCTCACCAGCAATCCTACGAAGACTTAATTCCTTAATGCGCAAATTTTAAAGTCAGGGAAACTGACTTTAAAGTCAGATTTTTCAAGACTTGTCACCTCTAAATTCTACCATTTTACCTTTTAACTCTGCCAATTAAGTTATGTTTAACTAAAGTAAACCTTCCAACAGACGGAATAGCCATCACGCCCCTGCATTCCAATAGCATGTGCCCTCACTGTCAAAAAATGTTGCTTACTTTCACTTGTTTGTATTTAAATGATGTATTCCTGCTCTTCAAGTCTTTTCTTTACCTGAACTGAAGAGCTTGGTCTTGCTGAAGAAGTTTTCTACATCTGTGCTTTAACCTCCTACTCTGAGAATAATCAATTGTCTAATCAACTGATAGACACCCAGAACATACGAACGCATCTCAGCTACAAGTAGCACCTTACCTTCATTTAAACTGTCACAAATATGTTTAGCTCTATTAGCAGAAATAGCTTCTTAGTCTTCAAAGGAGAATTTCATGATGACAAAGATAACCATATGCACAGCTATTTACAGTTCAAGACTAGAACTATACATTTCTGCTCATAATCATGGCTAGCATCCAGGTAAGGAACAAAAGCTGAAATCTTTTTGTAAATGTAAATTATTAGCAGGCTACCACAGTATGTATTTTGCTCTAAATCATGTAGCTCCAACTTGCCTCTCATTTGATATCTGTTCCCAAGCTCAATACAGTTTGATACAGCAGGAGTAAAAAACAGTTACATATTAAAGGAATTTCTTCAAAGGCCACATAAAATCTAAACCAATCCTTCTTTTTAAACACCAAGTTTTGAAATGTACCTATACTGGCAAAGAAACAGTCTTTTAAAATGGTACTGGGTATAAGAAATCTTTGTAATTCATATTTATTTCAGGCATTCTGTCACTTGTGGATGATCAGTTGGAGACTGAAGCTCCCACTGCGCTAAGTTCAAAACTGAATAGCCCCCATTCAGACATAAAAGGCATCACACTGACAAGGTAACACTAAATGCAGTTTCTTCCTTGCAGTATTGCCCTAGCACAAGCGATAACAGCTTTCTCTCTTGTAAAGCCAAGCAAACGGATAGGTTTCAATGATCTAAGAATTCATCACCAGCATGCTACTGTGATACAAGGGACTATTCCCCTTTGAAGTAACACACATTTTTCTTGATGTCTATGCTTAACGTGCAATGAAATGCATAGGTGCAGGCATACCTATTACAGCTCACCATGCTTGACCAATATTAAGTCTCAGTGCTATCTCATTATTGTATACAGCTCTGTTCTTTAACATAAATGCAACACAAATAACCTTGGTAAAGGTATCATTATAAGCAATTTTTTATCTTGTTTGAGTGAATAAACACTTCTTTGCTTTTAGATTTGCTAGCAACCTTCTCCATAGGCCCACTCATGCCTTGTGCATTCTCTTCATCTGCTGCCAGCTCTCTCTGGATCTTTTGGCTCATAAAGCTGCTTGGGTCTCCTGTCCTTACCTAAGCAAGTTGCACCTGCTTCCCCCCATACCTTTCGCTGCTTGTTGTGGGCAGAAGAGGCAAAATTATCTCAGACACCAAAGTTGTAATACGCAGAGCAGCAAGAAACCTTGCACCAATTTTGCAAAGAATACCGCAACACCAGAGGTGAGCAGGAGAAGGATTTTATCTTCAAGTCTCTCATTCCCTGGAGGCAG